GCTCCTTAGGCAGGGACCATTGGTGTGTTACGTAGTATCTAGTTCCCGAATTCAGGTCGATCTCATGACGCACACCTCGGTCCGAAGGAGGGAGCGACGGCGGGTCTTTGGCGATGACATCTTAGATATCCTTCACCAAACGATAGTACGGATCCGAGGGACTCTTCAGGATTCAAGATCCACTTCGTGCGCTCAGCACCCTCTTGATGTTCTCAAGGACAGCTTCATCAAAAGTGACGACGAGTTGATCTCCCCTTCGGTATAATGACCACTTTGGCTAAGTCACCTGCCTGGAAGGCATCGCCAAACTCTTCGATGGACATTTTGTCCAACTCAAAAAGAGTATCCACCGCAGGAATGTTCTCGAGGATGACGTCGCCGTCTTCCTCTCCCGTCATACCGTTGACGAGGGGTATAGCCGTTCGATATTGTCTCACATCCTGGGTCAGGAACGACGCCCGGCGTCTTGCAGCTAGCATACGGCGTCTCTGTCGCCTCTTCACAAAGATTGTACTTCACGACGAGACCAGTGTGAACACGCACTCAGCGTCGTCCAGTATTAGCCCCAATTCCTGCTCCACCAGAGTTCCGATGTTATGAACAACATCCGACGAAGAGCTACTAGCTCCGCAGTCTTCACCCAAGTGGATGGCGGGCCACTCCACGCGCATCACTGGGACCTCGTCCGACCATGCCACTCGTGGCATGCAGTGACCTCTTCGAAACGTGAGCAGTGCTCAGTGGATAACGCGCCACTCGATGCCTTGGCCCTTGGCCGACCAGCAAGCAGCGACTACCCCGATACCTGGACAGCGCTCAATGGGTACGTGCCACTCCAACTTCAGTCCGCGAACCATACTCGGGACTCGAGTCCGATACAACTTCGGTGTCACTAACTCGGATACTCCGATATCCAGCACGTTGACCGTCTCGGTCCAGTGCCCGCACCAAAAGCGTTTTTGCCACTCAGTGGAGGTGGGTTCATGGCTTATCGAAGCCACTAGGAGACTTGCGCGTAGCGCCCAAGGTCTTCGACCTCTAATCGATTCATTAGTCATGGTGTTCCAGCCATGCCATACCAAGAATGAGGTCATACCTTGAATTCAAGTCTAAGACTAAGCAGCGTTTCACACTATCAAAGTCAAGAAACTTGACGCGAAGGTCCACAGGGTCCTTCGGCACCGTGACACATGCCCCGTCGCCAAGCGAACAGTGACGGTGTCACTCAACCGCGCTTCCAGCGCCTCAGCATACCGCTGACTTTTTTCCATCGTGCGGCATTGAGCATAATTGTTCGACGCCCCGGAGTTGATCAGAATCTTCCATGGCTTCTCAAAGCCCTCCACGGTCGCTTCCCCGACCAGATAGCCCGGCTTACATACATGTTTTGCGCTCAAAATCACGATGCTCTTCGGGGCTGAACCTGCTGCCCAATACTGCTTTGAGGCTCAACAAAACTCAGTTTTCTCCAGTAGGGCGCCCGGTGCCTACTGGGTATTGTCGTTTCCCTGCGTCGAACCAGACTGGTAAGAAGCAAGACGTCGGTTTGATTAACCTTTACGCGCCTTGAGCAGAAGAAAACCAGGAAAGCGCGATCACACGCGTAATGCCTGGTTAGGCGGCATCCATCCAGGAAGAAAACGCCGCATAGACCGAAGTGCCGCACGTCAGTGACCATTCTCGCGCACGACACCCGGGCTTGGAGATAGCTAGCGCCATGCGGTGTTGCTCGGTCTGGATCATGGCGGACAAAGCAGGAGATTCTCTCCATCCTTGTCCTCGAAGGTCTTAACACTCACTATGAGTGGCTTGGGTCGCGGAAATCATTTGTCGTCGACGCCGACATCATCTGTTATAGATGCTCTGGCAGAGCATGTTTATAGCTTGAAGACGTCTTTATGTGCGCGCTGATCGCTTCAGGTCCTTGCAAAGCAAAGCGTTGCACGCCAGGACCAAGCAGAGACATCAGCTTTTTAAGCCCGTCCTGCATGCCCTGGGGCAAATAAGAGAACTGCTCCATCCTCAGAGAGGGTCGGTCGTTACGACTCAGGTGTAGATTGACTACAAATGCTACCAAGTGCAGCGGGGCCACCGTAGCTCTTTGCTTAGATGAAGCTTGTATAAGGCCGGTGAGTTTCATTCACTATTTAGAGCCAATACGAGTGTAGCGGATCGCAAACCACTTTCTCCAAACCCAAATTCTAGGCTAATTAACTTTTCCGTCCAAAGCGTCAACTAATATCTCTCGTGTTCTATACGCGGCAAAGCCGTCTATATCGAAATCTATGGGTTTTCCTATATATAAAAAACCTAATTAAATGGATAACTACTGGCTTTTCCAGCCACGTACTGACTTCTTGTTTAAGTGAAGCCGCACCATTGTATGGAAAACACACCATTTTACGATCGCACTATCTTGTGTGACCCACACCTTTCCTACAAGGGCACGTGAAACCCCGTTTCAACAAGTCTGGCAAGACATGTCAAGACTTTATGAGGTATTTCAAAGACTCTTCCGACAAAGCACTACATAGCCTTCTGCTTTAAATAAAATCGCAAATTTATCGTTTCGAGGTACACAATGGATTGTTGTACTAAAGAGTTTTGTTCCTAATGACGAAGATTTGCGTCATTGTCTCTTATATGAGTACCGTGAGATGGCCATCTCGGACGTGAGTTAACGTTTCTCAGTCTTTTCGGGTATTAATTTTGACCACACATGTATAATTGGGTGCGCAAGCATGTAAGGATTTTCAAGATTTGCCACAGAGTGAAACCATCGGTTTCCACTCAGGTCCCACTTCGGATAAAATCTCTCCCGAGGAAACAGCTGAACTCTTGAAGACATTGTTTTCTGTTTGCATGGCCTTCCTGCCGAGATTGTGTTTGATAGCAGTTCAGTTTCAGATCACTGTTTGGACTGTTGGGTACCAAAATGTCCACGTCGACAGCGTCACACCCTATTCGAGCGGCCAAACAGAACGTGTGATTCGAGTCCTAGTGGACGTACTGCGTTGCTACGCTACATCGCTCGAAGAGTGGAGTGGTTTTCTCTCTCTCGCAGAGTTTGTGTTGAACAACTAAATGCATATTTCGACAGATCACTCGCCATTTAATGTGTACTATGTAAGGTATCCATCCTAAATCACCTGCTTCCTTGTCTCCAAGGGATTATGGCTACGGAGAAATCGCCACACCTCACTGCTGTCAAAGAGTAAATTCAACATCGTGACAAGCCGTTGTGTGGTTTGTTCTAGGCGCAATTTTGAATGCTCAAAATCTGCAAAAAAGAAAAAGCAGAAAAGAGCAAGCTGGACGATCTTGTACAACTTAACATGCATTTCTAGTGGATCTGTCGGTCCTACTATAATTTTGGTAGATAATCGCGCTGATTATAAATTTCTCTACTTGACCGCGAAGAGCTACCTACTCTCCACCCTGAAGAATTTTATCGGCGTTTAAGCGTTGAAGGACATTAAAGGATCGCTCTTTTATTACCCTCAACGCTTGAAGATGAGAATTTTATTTGTCACGATATACCTCGAGAACCGGGCTTGCCATTTCAACAGAGCGCTATAGATCATTACGATCGTCGATCCGACGCCAATTAAAAAGACGCTTCATGTCGAACTACTTCACTCCGTTCTGATTTAGAATAAGTAGCATCAATGAGTTCTGGAAAAGCATTTTTGGCTGCCTAGGCGAAGAACGCTATTCAAGTTTGGCTTGTTCACTTGTCGCTTTGTTGCGTGATCAGAAAAAAACTGGTTCAAAAGGTTTGCTAAAGTAACAAATTACTTATGACTTTAAGGAGAGGACGTATCGGGTATAATTAGCATTATATGAAGGTTGATCTATGTCCTTCCTGCGTGCATTGTGGAGTTCATAACAAGGGATTCCAGTATGGTGTCCCCACATGGCTATGTGACATCTAAGATGAAGTCACGAACATTATGCGTGATACAGAATGCTGGTTACTACTTTTAGAATTGCAAGGCCGACGTGTCTCTTTCTTTGAAGTGGGTAGCGTAAGCCGGTCATAACTTTTCGCGGGAGTTTAAGCTCAAGCTATTTAAAGTTCAAGTCCGCCAACCCAACGTTTTCTAAAAGTCCAAGCTGAGTTTCAACCTCTACGGGGTTTAGAACTCGCTCGCAGAGCGTTCATTTCTAAGAACAAGATGATTGTGGTCCCATCAAGAATCCTACTTGAGCGAAGACGGCGGTAGATTGAGGAGTGGTAAACCTTACAGCTTTCTTACTATTGTCCCTCGGACTGAAAGCTAAACTGAGGAGTTCCATTATAAGGTGTCATGACTAATACTGTTGCGGATGAAGGTGACGAATTTCGTAAGGCCTGTAGAATGTAGCTTCACGATATGCTGTTTGATCGTTCCAGATAGTCATATATGTAGCAGCGATTGAGGCTAAATGTTGTTTACAGTATATTCCAATTTTGGATTTTTAGCAAAGAATGAACTCGTTCTCTCATATGCTTCGCTTACGCCACTAGATGGAGCGTACAAATTCATCGACTATGCGTTTATTGACAAGAACCTGTTTAACATCGGACGCAAATTTAATATGTAATGTGTATTCTCTTACTCTCTCTGTTCAAATGCTCTCAGCAACAGCTTTCAGGCGCGTGGCTCCTACTCTTTTAAGTACTTTAAGTGGCTGTAAAAAATATAATTGCATGTATATGGTACATCTCCATCTGTCAAATGACTTAAAGCTTGGCCACATCCCGTCGAGAAATTTGTCTTGTACGGCTTTACCACCCTACTGGAGCAATCTTGTACCAGTATCTTGATTGGTCTAAGTATTGCATTTGCTGTTTTTCAATCTTTCGAAATCTGCTAGATGGTAGCCAATAATTTTGGAAAAGCCTCCATCAAACCTTCTATTAATCATAATATGATATAGAAAAGGCTCTGATGTGAAGGAGCTCCACCACTCATACATTCTTCCAGTCTACCATCACTTTTGCCCTACTTCGAACTATGTCAGGCACGCGTGTGTACGTTGGCAATTTGCCCATGGATATTCGTACTCGTGAGGTGGAGGATATCTTTCATAAATTCGGACGTATCCGTGACATCGATGTCAAATTTCCGTCCCGTCCGCCCGCTTTTGCCTTTGTAGATTTCGACGATGTGCGGGATGCTGAAGATGCAATCCGAGGCCGCGACGGCTATGAATACGACGGTGCACGGCTGCGAGTCGAACTTGCTAATGGTGGACGCCGTGAATCATTTCGTGAACCGACTCGTGGGCCGACCCGATACCCGCGTAACGTTCGTGGGACGGGGGATTTCACCGTGGAAGTGTCAAATCTGCCGCCGCGTGTGTCATGGCAGGATTTGAAGGATTTTATGCGTAAAGCAGGCGATGTAGTCTTTACTGAAGTTGATGGACAAGGTGGTGGTATCGTTGAGTTTAGCAACAAGCGGGACATGAGGTACGCTGTAGAAAAGCTAGACGATTCGGAATTCCGTGGTCGTAGCGAGAACTCGTACGTTCGTGTGCGCGAGGCAGGGGGTCGTGGGCGTAGTAACAGCCGAAGCAGATCGCGTAGCCGTTCACGTAGTCGATCACGTAGTCGAAGCACTCGTCGTTCCAGCAAAAAACGCAGTCGTAGTCGTAGCCGTAGCCGTAGCGAGGACGTAGAAGGAGAAAAGAAGGCTAAGCGCTGCGTATCAGCGGACAGAAAAGGCTCGAAAGAAGATGGTAAGGAAGACGAGTTCGAGAAGACTGCAAGTGCTAACGAAAAGCAGGACAAGGTCGAGGAACCTAGTACGGAGCCGGAAAAAGGAGGACAGAAGGGACCTGTCGCGATGACAGATGCTTAGAGCAGCGCGACGGCTATGGAATGGACGAAAAGACAATGCAGTATTGAGAACACTATTGGACGGATGAAAGGACTAGCACTCACTGCGACAGCCTCGGCTTGTTAAGGCGTGTGCATGTGTGAGTCTGGCTGCTGCTGTGATGTTCGGTGTTCTCTTACCGTGTATCTTGTATGCTCCCATTGTTCTTGTTTAATCGTGCTGTTTTGCACATCGCTCGAGACTACATGTTTTTGCATAATTCGTTTTAATTTTTCTTCATTGTTCGATTGGCGGAATGGATAGCGGGTGAGCGCATAGCTGCTGAATGGAGTACGGCGAGGGGGAGGAGCGGCTGCCGCAATTTGGATGGTGCACGACTTAGAAGGAGACACTGATCGGCTGGTAGTGAGACCATAGTGCTTTGTAGTAGGTTACGCATTAAGAAAAATAAATTCTCCCTGCAGTTTCGTCTTCTATGTTCGATCAAGCACCACGGGAAGCTGAATTGGAGATTTCGTGCTTGCAAGTTCCTCCAGACCTTCACCATTGTAGGATAATAATGGCGAAATCTCGCATATGCTATCGGACTCGTTATCTATGAAGGTCGCACCGGCTTCTAGCAGCCAGCGCTTGCATTGCTGAAACACAAGTTGGCGAGCGGTAAGAGGCGAGTCTGACACGGCTCCAGGAGCATTCTTGACTGGTGCAAATTCATCTTCTCGTGTCACACCAAGCACTTTAAAGCTTTGAGAGAATGGAAAGACGTCAAAGATGAACGACTCAAGCTTAATTCCAGTGTTGCTCATTGGGGTTATCGTCTTAGTGCCTTTGTCATCAACATAAGAAATCTTCTTTCTAGCGACGTGGTAGTTTGGATCGGTCTGGTTACAGCACCTCTTGAGAAAGTCAATACGGAACAAATGGTTGCAAATATTAGCAGCGCCGAAACTAAGTTTCCCGCTCGTAGGATTGACACGTTCTGACGCAGCACGGTCGAGTTCTGAATACTCCAGAACGCAATACTTTCCATTGCGCTTCGCTACAACACCCACATTTTCGTCAGGCCGTGTCTTCCACACGACTTTAATTCCGCAGTCGGCGTCTTGGTCAATACAGTAGCCGATAAACGCCGGGTCAGCAACCTTGCAAAGTACATTGTCCACCGAAAAAACATGTAAATGTTTCACGTTACGCGTGCATAGTAAATCAAGTATTTTACTTCGCTTCAGAGCTGAATAGATACCACTATTACCGTCGGAAGCCCGCGCGAGTTGACTTGCTGTCTCAAGAATGAATTTTCCATCATTCGTAAAACATGGTAGCGTACCTTGAGAGAAAAAATGGACCTGATCTCTTGAAAGTCCAAAGTAATTCATTTCATGAAAAAATGAAACGATAGACTCATGATTCATTGCACTGGTCATGATGAGCAGCATAATACTCGGAGCTTTAGGCAGCATGAAACGAGTTTGTGCAAGCTCCTGCACCTTGCGAATACGCAAAGCAAAAATCTCAAAAAGAGATCTGCCAGAAGGAAGACCGATATCGTACATGCCCTTGGGACCAGCAAAGCCAAGTCGAGTTCCTTGACCACCACTGAGAATCAATGCACCTATTGTGCCGTTTGCAACAGCTTCAAGACCTAAATCTAGCCACTTTGTCATGATTTCGGGCGCAGTCTCACTCAGCTGCTGCACCGCATCGTCTTCTAGAGGTGCAATTTCGTCTGCATCCACGTTCATGACGCTCTCAGCTTTGACTGAACGGTCGAAGAGAGCAGCAATCTGGTGCGGGTCATACTGTCTGAGATCTTCTACTAACTCACATGCTTCGTGTGCGTTGATTTTGCCGGCATCAATAAATCGAAAGACATGGCTTTGGCCTGCTTTTTCGTACGTCTTCCGAAGAGAAGCTGGGACTGAGTTAGCGTTGGCCATAAACTTGGAACTTTCTAACCGGATGATATCACGCAGGAAATTTTTGATCAAAAAATTGACATGAGTAGACAAACCTTCACCGTTATAGGAAACCAGAGGCGATATCTCAATGCAAATGGCTTCCTCCAGTTTGCGTTCAAAGTTCGCTAACTCGTCAGAGCTATCTAAAATGGAAGATGCCGCATTCACGAGCCATGATTTTCCTTCCTCATGTATCATGCGACGTGCACTATCAGGGGAGTCAGTAGGGAATCGCGGAGGATTCTTGACTGGAGCAAACTCTGTCTTTCGTGGAACAGAAAGCACTGCCATTTTTGAAGATAATGTAAAGACATCAAATATGAAAGACTCCAGCTTGATTCCTGAATTCTCTGTGGGTGTAAAAGTAGCGCCAGAGTCATCTGCCATAGCAATTTTCTTGTGAGCTACATGGTACTCAAGACTTAAGTTCGGAAGCACCACGTCTGTTAAGAAATCACTTGGCCAAAATAGTGGGTTAGCTATAAAGTAAAACAACTACAACTAAGCTGAACGTACACAGTGAAAAAGTGGTTGCAAATATTGGCAGCACCGAAACTAAGCTTGCCGGTTGCAGGATCTATCTGCTTTGACGCAGTATCATTAAGCTCTGTATACTCCACAACGCAGTACGCTCCATTACGCTTGGCCACAACGCCTACATTCTCGTCGGGACGAGATTTCCACACTACTTTATTTCCACAATCTGCTTGTTTATCAATGCAGTAGCCAATAAATACTGGATCTGCCACCTTACACAATGCATTGTCTACCGAAAAAACGTGTATATATTTCACACCATGCCCTTGTAGCCTTGTGAGTGCCCCACTAGTCTTTAAAGCCTTGTAAATACCTCCATTACCATCCGACGCAACCGCCAGTTTGTGAGTATTCTCCAAAATGAGTTTGCCTTCCAATGTCAAGCACGGCAATGTGCCTTGTGGAAAGAAAAACATTTGCGACTTTTTCAGTCCAAAGAAATTGTGATTTTCAAAAAACTCGACCGTCGTGTTGTGATTCATCTTGCTTGTCATCACATAAAACATGATTTGAATCGTATCTCGTGATTGCATAGGGTACTTTTGAGCTACGAGAGCTTCTAAAGCTAAGAGTCTCTCTGCAAACAGTTGAAAAAGACTCTTTTCGGACGGCAGCCCCACATTATACATTCCCTTGGGACCTGCAAAGCCCAGTCGAGTACCTTGACCTCCACTTAGTACCAAAGCACATAGCTGACCTTGACTAATTGCTTCAAAACCGCGATCTTCCCATCGCTGCTTCTCCTCAATCGAACATTCTTCCAACAGATCGTAACTTTCGAGAGGCTCGATATTATTTGTTTCCAAAGCCTTTGAGCTTGTAGAAGCTTTAAAGATTTTCTGTAATAGCTCAAGATCAAGAGACTCAAGCTAATATTCACAAGATAACAACAGTCGGTTCATTTACTGGAGCATAATCATGAACATTGGTCATACTTCTGCTGTAAGCTCCTGTCCTTCGCTAGCCACGAGCTTGTTGGCGTCATCAAACTACATATTGTATATCTTAAGGTTTTTCATGTAAGTGTATGTGGTTACAATGCTTAATCTCACCTTAAGCACATGTCCTTGTCCAGCTACACGCAGCTTACGTGCAAGCTCTTCCGGGACGTGTGGCATGAGCCCAAATTTTGATGTTAAGACCCTTTTTACCGGTATTTGAAAAAGTAATATTTAGCCCAGCTAGATTTAGATTTCTCATTTCATCGAGAAGTAGCACTAAGGATTTCTACGAGAGGTGCAAATGCTACGACTGCAATGTCTTCCTACACTTGCTTCTTACCTTGACGAAAGCTTTTTTAATCGAATTTTGGTAATTTTGCTTTGTTCGCCTGCGGCGATCACGAGCTCGTCTTCTCGACTATTGTGCAGTCTAGATTCTAAAATGCGAAGCATCTCAGATGCAGACTTTCCGGTCGCACAAACAATGTAGATAAACCTGTAAGGACTGTGTCAGTCATAAAGAGCTTCATAGCGTCAGCATAGCGTACCCGAATTTCTTGTAGTAAGCATCATTGAGCTCTTCTAGCCGATCCAAAGTTGCTTCATCAGCATTTTTTGTTGCCTACATCACTCAATTCACATAAATTAGTCGTTCGTCTGCGGATCGAACTACTATGGAAACCATTTGTTCCTGGGCTTCCCACTCCTTGATCGGCTTCTTCACTCGTCCTATCTACATGATTACGCATTAGTTCTTACAATTTCTATTTAATGTCATATGTGCAGTAGATTTAGACAACTTGGCGTCTATAAAAAAATATATCGCATGACAAACCTTCGGATGAGCAGCAAAAGCTTCCAGCCAATCCTCCTCAGTCAACAAGGCATCCACTTCATCAGCCGCTTGGCTCAGCTCTGGGATATTTTGAAAGGGAGACCTCTTATGCATTTCTGCAGCCCATCGACTAGAGCCACAACACTCCAGAAGATTTTCGTGAAACGATAATTCCTCCTTTTCAGCATTTAGCATGGTACTTTCAAATATGAAATGATTTACTTAAAAGCATCTAAAAATTCTCGATTAAAAGGGGAACTGATAAAGATACATCTCGGCTTCCTTAATGAGAATGGCTTTAAGGTCGTCCGTCAGTCTAAGAAATCGCACCTTTATTAAAAGCCTCGTTAGGAGCAGGTACTAAAGGGTGCAAGGAGTGAAATGAAACTTCAAGCGCAAAGGTGATTGCTTTCGTGCAAAGTGTGAGCCCTAGTGTGATCCACACATTGATGGGGATGTGCGTACATTACACATTTGTGCATGTAGGATGATGAGACTCGCTAAGTGTGTTTCAGCTACCGGTCAAGTATCAAATTGGTGAAAGCCGAAACTCACTTGCTTACCGGAAGCGTATGCGCTGGGAAAACTTGCGTTTTCTTCCGACACGATAAAGACAGTAGATGTCATAGCAGTAGCGGTGTCGGAGCGATGAAATCTGAGGATATCTCTTCCACGTAAACAGATGCTAGGAGACAAAAGCGCTATTGGCGAGAGCACTGGACCGAGACGGTTAACGTGCTAGACATTGGAATGTCCGAGTTGGTAGACACCAACAGTGTATTGGACAGGAGTCCCGAGCGTGGCTCGCGGGCTGATCGTGGAGTGGCACGTGAACCACTGAGCGCTGCTCGAGTATCAAAGCAGTCGCTGCATTTCATGTGTGACATGGTTGCAGCCCTGCTAAACCCGCCGGTTCGCTAATTGGTCAATATATAATTGGGTTACTCCTCGATCGTGGAGCAGGTCGATCCTCCCGCAATCTGCTTGGAGGAGCTGTATCGTTTATGGCAAAACGTTGACTTAATCGAGTGTCTCAACGTGTTTTCGACACCGGTATGAGCCACATTTTGTATGCACTCTCGAGCTACCTCATCGTATGACGTGAATAATTGCATCTCACAAGCGGCTTGGAATTGTATTGCATCCCTCATAGAAGAAATTAGTTCATCCAACAACAATTGGCAAGATGCTTTGTTATCAGCATTTCTGCTTAGGTTTGTAAGGCCGGTTGTGATATTGCTAAAGCAAACTCACGTATAGCACAAAGCGCGGTTGTATTTTCTTCGGGATATTGAAAGTGTAGCTCAACGACTGTCGGCTACGACAGCAAGCGGTTCGATGGAGTGGATCGCAACTCGTTCTAAATAAAAAAAAAATAGACTACAGGGAAGGCATGTGTGTGTAGATCATATGCATCAAATAGAAAATATCTTGCTATTTAGTCATGTGTATTTCGTCTGTATCTGGCGTCGGCATATTGCTATCGAATATTCCGGCTCTTGGTCATAGCGTCGCGCACTCGGCATATTATGTTCAATATCGTGAAGACAATTTGTGTTATGGGGTTTATATCAGCAAGACATATCAAATCAGCAGTCCCTCCCTCACCAAGATTGGAGCTTCCATTTCGCGTGGTCAAATGGACAGAAGCACTGACCAAGCCACGTCTCGGAGTAAGCTAGCAGACGCATGTTTTTCAGGTTTTAGCGTATGCTCAATGAGAGAAAAGCACGCTCCAGCACTGTGGCCTCTCCGCTTTGAAGAACATCCTGCAGCAGGACTGCCGTAGCTCTTTGCGTAGAGGAAGCTAAGCTAAGGCCACCGACCTTACGTTCTATACGATAGCCAGTACAAGCGTAGTGTATTGCAATCCGCTACCTCCAAGAGTTCTAAAAAAACAAAAGCAAGGCAATGAAGCTCTCCCATTCAAAATTGAAACTGAATTTATTTGTTTTATTTGCGGCAGAGCCGCTTATATCTAAAACCTAATTTATATGCATAACTACTGGCAGTCCCGCCGCGTAGTGGTTTCTTGTTATGGTGTAGCCATAATATTGTGTGATAACACCAACTTGTGTAATTCGCACCTTCGTGCGGTCACACAATCTTGTGTGACCCATCCTTTCATGCAAAGGTACGTGTAACCCCGTTACATCGGTGTTAAGCTGGTCAGCGCTGTAACACAGCAATTCTTGGGTTGGATTGATAGGTGCAAACTCGTTATTCAGCAGCGTACCCCATATTGTGTCTGACCCGTATGCTGTACGTATAATCTCATCTAACAGGCGACATCTCCATCGTAGTGCATTACCGGGCGCTTATATAAGCATGAAAGGATCGCTATCTAATTATTTTCGGTGAGAGATGTGATACTGATGTTGCCAAGCGCAACCACGTACGATCTGCATCGATCACACAGGAGCTGAAAAACAGTCAAATGCATCCTGAATTTGACACGAACATACTTTTAGCAAGTAGCCCTTGTCATTAATGGAGTACTTTCTTTGTCGCTTTGAGCTGGCAAGACTCGTTTGAGGTCCATACTGCTTCCAACTTGTCTACAAGTACAGCCACTCCATCTTGAGAAATTTGGTAAGCCCGTGGTCGCATACATAGTATTTCTGCCTGAAATTACGGTATGTGGATCTGTTCGCGCCTGAACATACGATTGCTTGCAAATTTGTGAGCACGCTGAAACATAGTTCAATATGAGCTAAGTTGGTTTTACGACCGAATTGTCGTGGGTTTAGCGATTGGATTCCACCGTGTCAATCCTTGACTAGATATGAGTGAGATGGTCACATCAACTTCATAAGTCACATTTAAGACTTTGTCTCTGCCCTATCACATTGGTGCCAGCAAAATAAACACCAAATTTAGCCGCAACACATTCCTCAGCCCAAACGACTCCCGTTTTATCACGTATTTCCAGTACGCAATATTCTTGTGCATGGTAAACACAACGACTCTATCACAGCTGATGATATTAGCGGGGATGGATACGAAGTTCAGGGATCAGTCGTTGTGTAGTCAAATCTAATTATACCTTAAGGCACTGCTATTGGGCACATTAGTGAATATCAGCACTTCAGCGGTAGAATTGCTGAGGAAGCACTCGAGCCCCCCCCATTCAACATGTAGAGATTCGAAATCTCGACTATATTCGTAAGGATTTATCTGCAAACCCCACGCCTTTGTCGAGCGGCACCAGTGACGTCCGTCATTCATTTTCAAGAATATTTATATTTGGCTGTGCCATAACCATATCGAGAAGTCGGTGTCCAGAAGGCTGCTCATCGAATCCACGAAGCGCATCTTATTTAATCCACAAACGGTTGAGCTTTGATATAGTCTCATTCCGCGACCATCTGTCTATCAGCGATAGCATAGATGTCAAAATAGAGCTGAGTCAACCGGTACCGCGCAATCAGCATTCCGAGCGAACCAAGCTATTTGTAGAATTTTTGAGGAAGAAGACACGTGACCATTTAATTAAAAGAAAATATACCCCATCACAGTATGGGAAACAAGCAAAGGGAGGGTCCGACACGGAAACAGGATATTGTCAGAATCATTTATACTATATTATGCTATTTCATTCATATAAAATATTTGGTTCTTTGGGCCTCAAAATCTTTAGAACCTTGACAATCATAAGAGATGAGCTGACAAAATTGGTCATGCTACACACTAAACAATACTGCGTCTGTGAGCGTTCCCATCTTGGTATGGTAATAAATCAAAAAGTTTATGCAACAATTGACGTAAATACTCTGATTTGCGGTAAGGATGAACTGCTTATAATTAAAGCAGATGAAGCCGGCTTTGATTAGGTTGCGTACTTGAGACTACGTTGAATGAAAGTCCAAATGTAATAAAGGTTTGTCTCGATCGCATAGATCAAGCACGTCTCGCCACATAGCGGTAGTTACTAGTGAATATGGAAACGATCACTTGACGCAGAGAACATGAGAAATAATTTCGGTACTAAAAGATGGGGCTAATTCTGACCTTATAGGTGCTGAGCTACCTATTATTGATGTTTAAAGTGTTATCGACCACCGAACGTCAACACAATCGTTGCTAATCAATGACAGACTACCCGACGCGACTTTTGGCTCCTTTCCAATTTATCCGCAATAGGTCATCTTAAAGGTTGGGGGTCAGTTCGGGCAAAGCAAATAGTAGTAAATTTGCAATTTGGAAAGATTCAGCGTCTTAAAAGAAATGAAGCCGATTTAAAGGACGGAAATGAGATTGCAGAGCCGAAATCAAAGCTATGATGTGTTAGTGTGAGCAATAAGCATTAGGAGTACTGAGCATAGAGGTAACTACTCAGATGGAAGAGGATAAAGATGCTGGAGCATCGGTTTCTGATTTCATACTTGATGTCGCTTCAGGTGGCACGCGATCTGATGCTAGGGCAAATACTTTTGCTTAATTGGGTCATGTGACGATTGAGGTTTGGATGAGGATGCCAAACATCAACTCGAAGCATCCGGTATTTCGAAAATAATTCTGAATCGTAGAATAATATCTCCAATAGTGTACAATCGGTTTAGAAGTGACGCTCAAACATAATTACTCTTAATTGTCGCGGAATCGCGGCTCCTAATTCAATATATATATATTCGTGTCGGCGTACAACGAGCCATCTTGCTCCTCTTTAACTTAGCAAACTTGAAGCGGGAGTGATCGAAAGAAAGGCTAGCGAGGTCGATGAATAGATGAATTAAAACCTTAAAGTGTAAGATAAAGGGGATAGTGATTACAGGGAACCTGATGCCGGGGTGTGCACATTGTAAACTATAATAGCCAAATTGACTGATGGCCCGAATGTGCTTGATCTTGATGTACAATGAAAAGATTGTTTGGATTCTTCACCAACCAACCATGATTACACCATATATACCTAATGAATAAATTGCTATTAATATGAATTGCTTTCATTCAATTCGGTGAAACATACGAAATCCTCATGTCTTACAGCCTAACTAAAAACCATCAAAAGCTAGAAGGGGGCAAATTCAATGAAATTAGACGCGGTAATTGAACAATTTTGCACAAGACAAAGTAATCTGTTAGGATCGAGTAGTATTGCAATAAAGATTGTAAGTATCGGCAACTCTTTCTCACCAAAACCGAAATCGCTTTGCAATGCTGTCAGAGAAATAAAGAACATTCATAAGAGCGGTATTACGTTTGTAGAGGCATAGATTGCATTTACAGCGGGCCATCCAAAGACCAATGGTCGGCGAAATGCGTTGATCGCGCGATTAGGACAGCCTCCAAAGACCATGCGCAAAACGACCGCAAGACAGGAACGGCGTATTTCCACTCATTACATGCACGTTAACAAGCTGGTGTCAAGCATCTTAAGTGAAATTTGCCCAAATATTGCTTTGATGAGTAAATCAATTCAACAGGAAAAGCATGTAGGCGAAACGTTTGCCCGTGAACACCTTATCTGAATCATCACCAGTTACATGACAACGACAGCGGCTACAAGGACCATTGTGTTGATTAGCGGGAGCACCACGATAGAGACAATCATAACACGAATAGACCGCCAACCTCATGCTTGAACTGGCAAGTTGCTTGACGCCGCAAACATGCAGCAAGATATTACTTGTTGACACGATCCACATGTGTGCACATAAGCGCTCAACTGTTTGTGCATGTTGAGCTACAAGAAAAAAGCTCTCACTTGGCCCTTCTTCCTTTCTCCACCACGGTAGTCTCTTGGTGGTTGCGAGAGTGTCTTTCAGCCTGCTTTGCATGATGTCCCCATCCTGAAATACAACCACATGTTTTGTACCAAAAAAATCCGTGCTGTGAAGCTGCCAACCTTAGCTATGAGTGGCGATGTAAATCTTCAAAAGGCGCTCTGCAGGTTGTGTCTGACTCGTTCGCTGCGGAGATATCATGTCGATAGTGTTGACACTACTTTAACAATATATTACTAATAATCTGAGCTCTCGCAACCACTTTTAGTCGAAAAGTAATCTTAATTTGGGAGAGGGGGTAACCGACACGTGAGAAGTAGGTCTACAACGTCGTTATTCGCATAAGACGCATAATCTTTATCGATCACGAAAGGCTTGGAGTCGTGTGTTTATTGTAACTTGTCAAGAGAATATTCATAACAAGAATTGTCAATGACTCGGTAGTTTATCTCGGCGCCGATATTTAGCGCAATCATCGTCCATGCCAATTAGCATCACCCTTGAAGCAAACCACATCCTGTGGAAAACGCCGCACCATCACAGACGACGTAAAATACTCGGTGTGCATCCGAAAGTACCAGGATAGGGGTACATACAAGGCTCTCTAATGTGGATCAAATTGCACTCAACACTATTTAGCATACTCTCAGCGGAGATTGGTGAAAGGTCGTCGACATGTCAGCATAATTTGCAGTAAGCTTGTGATAGTAGCTGACCAGGCTAAGTTAGTTCAAAGAATTGGTGTTGTGGCAGTAGTCAGTCCGCTTTGGCCGTGGTCGCTGCAGCATCTCCACGAAGACGATGGTCGAATAAAGCATTCAAAATAAATGTCGTCTGCGCAAAAGGCTAGATTCTCCATGTTGACAAATGTTTTTGGTAGCTAGCTTATTAATGCGCATGTACGTGAGCATACTTCGCAAGTGTACAAGAGCGATGTTGAGATTTGCTCCGCGCAATTGTTAACGACACCCTCAAGATAAGTTTGTAAATATGCTTGGTGAGGCCCAAACAATAACGATTAGATGTTTTTGATAGCTATACAAACCCTGTAAAGTTAGTTTCTAGCATACCATCCCGCTCGGGGTGTATACTTCAGCGAAAGGGGTCTTACTATATCTCATAATCAGATGAAATTAACCTTGATTAGGTCGACGGCGCTATATTGCTGTACATAGTATGCCCGATCACGCTGCTCTACCGCAATTCTTTTTTAAGTAAGTGGTATTCGCGTTGGTTCCGTGGCTGCATTTCAGTGTGAGCAATTAACTCCCTGCTGTTAGCATTCCTGACACAAAAAGTAGTTGCCGAGTTTGAAGGGGTCCTCTCTTTAATCTGTCATTCTTCGAGTTTTGCACAGAATATGTGTAAGACACTGATTCCTTGGCAACGGCGTGTCACGCACTATATTGTAGGTCAATCGCATGACGATCATTGGGTAACACCTCGCGGTATTCCTAAAAAAAATATTATCCACAAAATCTGTGAATTTAGCTGTCCTGATTCCTCCATGGCGGATGAAAGGTGCAGCTCTTTATAAATGCTAGCTGAGTTTGACTCATTGTCTTGCAATATTTTGTATGTATCCCTTGGTAATAATTTCCCGGACTCTACATGAGCGTAAGGGCGGGGACAAGAATGATCTGAGTGAACAACCTTAGCACTTTTTTCACGAGTGTTCACAACTTTTTTCGTAATTTCACGCAGCCTCGAGACCGTGCATAGTAGGTACGTACCTGGTGCTGCTGACTTGTTTGTATCGTCATACCGGGACAAGGATGAATCATCCTCAGACAACATCAGGAACCAGCACAAATACAGTCGTCTATCTCCTCTGAAATCAACCTGGAGAATTCGGCTTTCAAAAAATTTCAATCTATCTGAACATGACCAAATCCTTAAGATTTTGGCTCAATGCGATCTTTATCCGTGTAGCGGTGGATACTGAGGATCACAGCCGCCATTGGCTTTAAAGCTGTGATGAGTACTCTTGTCGATATTGTTGCGCTTCATTTTGAACTATCCGATGCCTTTAAAAAAGTGATCCTGCTTTCTAGCAGAGGAATATTCAATTTTCACCAACCCAACGGCTTCTTGTATTTTAGTGCTATTCTCCCAATACACATGTTTTATCTCTTCCAGAAATGATGGTCTTTTCTTTTGACTGAAATATGTGCATCTTGGTGCCCCAATTATATGATATTTTGGTCGTGGAAAGACGATCCATTCACCGTCCTGCAATTATGAGTGTGCTCACATTTTCGGCTAACGATGTGTTTTTGGACAAAATATGCTTAATCATTTCATCCCGCGACCCCACCTTCTCCAGCCTGCGAATTTTATCAGCGTTGAGCCGTATTAAACTTCTCGATTTCCATCGGATCCAAATCCACAGGCTGTATGGAGGTATATTTGTCTCTATTTGATGTTCACGTTTACCGATGGCTCACAGGGCTGCGATCGCTCAAAATAAATATAAATTGTCTCACAGACTAGGTCATCTTGCTGCGGCAAAACAGTTCATTAGCACCTATAAATCATCTCGAGGTAAAGTATAAACCAGGAAATCAGAATGCTTTGGCTGATACGTTGTCACACATACCGTGTTATGAGCTTACTCATGTCACGACGGTGACGTCGTTAGTGACGGATTTGATTCGCGCCGCATGCGCGGGTGATGATATGTGCGTAGCGCTGCTACTATCGCTCGAGAGCAAGGTATTCACATATAACGTACGCTATCTCCATGGTCATCCGGGGCCACTCCATCATTTAATTTTTGTGGTACAAGCTGCTCGAATAATGCAGTGAGTGTATCCGTTATGCGTATACTATCGATCGACATACGATCGTAACCCTAAATCCCTTAATTTTCGTCGGACGCGCTGTCGTCGGAGAATCTGTCTACTGCTCTCCATTCTGGCGTTGATGCTTCTAAACCGATTGCTCGGCCTTGAAAAGACGTTGAGACTACTCATCAGCTAGTTATTTCAGCAAGTCGGCTGCTTTAAAGGCGTGTAGGTCCAACCGCAAAGCCCTTTTTCGATGTAAAATCTTGAGATTGTTTTATCGACAAGAGTGAGCAGAACAAGATTGGACTGCGATCGAAAGATTATAGTACGAAGAAGAAGATTTAAGCTTCTCGGTGCTACCACGTACGCTGGTATAATTATTCCGACGGTAAAAATTCGTTAGAGCGCGGTACGACATTGGATTTCAATGTTCCTGGTCTTGTGCAGCAGTACCAGAGTCGTCTAACGGTGCATCTCTAGCGCGTCAAGACTGATCGATTGACGATTAACCATCATTTGGTGATAATCATTCAAATACGAATGAATAACATCATCGCATTCTTGCTGAGTCGAGCGTTGGAGTGTTCGTTAATGATAAGCGCAACAACCCTCAATCACATCAACGCGACAAACTTTGTTGCAAAGCAGAGCTACGTGATGCGCCTCCTCCCGCAAACGATACCAAAAATATGTTCGCTGAGCTTTTTATTCAATGTTTGACTTGCAAAACTGGTATTTTCTTATTACATCATTGGGCAGACCCGTTCAACTACGCTAGTAGTAAAGAGCGTATTACATTAATCAACATCGTGGTCGCTGTCCTGAACCGTTCGAACTAAGTGTATATCTCTTCTAGTGTAGATCAAATTGCATTTCGGAACAATGAAGAATTGTAATATGTGATTGGGTACAGATTTGCATCAGTGATTCCATCGGTGTGAGGACTAGTCGTTAGTGTAGAGGACTATAACTAGTTGCTATGATTGATGATGCTGAATGGTTTGTCGTTCTTGCAGCAACGGCTTTCAAAATGTGGACTCGTGCTATAAGAGGCGTCGGTTGTACCGCCGCTATTTGATGTTCATCTCATATCGGCTCAGACACCAGATATGAGATGTTGTGCCTCGGCGTTCTGACTTTAGAATTCACTTTGCCTTTTTCCCTTCGACTTTCAATGTTAACGCTATCTTCGGAGTGAGTGATTAAGTGAATCAACGCTGTCTACATGATTATTCGATATCATCTTCACAGCCAGTTGGAGGGTTTCTGTGCAATTTTTAGGCTGTATTTAGGGCGTGCTACGCGCGCCATTCGTCAATAAAGGAATAATCTTTTTCCCAAGTTTATTGCTCAAGTTTATCGCTCCAACTGGTAATTTAAAGGGTAGCGCAACAGAAGGACAATAGTGGAATGTGTACGTACATCATGACAGAATTTTAACCCCAATTACAAAAAACACATTCTCACGCTTTAGTTCGGTAATGACCTTTTACTCATGTTTAGTACATACTGACATTTAAATCTCAAGTGTGACAACATCGTGCGACAATCACTCACTCGATTTATCAAATCAAAGCAAGCCTTCAATAGTTTAAGAATAATCAAGAGACGTAGGAGACTCTGCAAACTGTCGCTCAGTGCATGAGAGTGCATGTCGTGAACGCAGATCTTTTCAAAAAGAGTGAATATATGATTATCTTTCAGGATGCAATGGTAGTATATTTGATAAACAATTGCTCCGTACCCCATTATACCTATTAGACCTAAGCCCCTCCACACCCTAATGTGTCGTAAGGCAAGAGCTTACTTCGAAACTAGATTTTTCACTTCTTAAAACAATGTTCCACATGGACTTTACAACCTTCACTACATGCCAACACAATCATGCGGAGGCATCAAACCATCTGCCGAAAAAATAGTAAAATGTTTTTCTTTTGGAGTGTCGACGTTTCAAGTAATGACTAAAGGTTTTGCTCGGATTAACATGAAACATCTATTTTAATGTACGTTCCGATTCCGTTGGGTGACAAACACAGCAACGCAATCTGACTGCTAATCGTGAATCTTTCCACTTCAAACTTCGTTTAAGCACCAAATTGGTGCATACGTCACTTATTTCAAACAAAGTAAACAACGATCATTGACGACAAAGAGGTGGAGTCGACTTGCGCTCATGAGAATGCTGACGGAACGTCACACCGTGAATAAAATCATATTTAATTTTAAGCATCTGTCTGTAAACACCTTTTGGCGAGGCCTTAAAGCATTTTGAAGTTAAAGCACTCACACGTCTTCTCTCTGCTGTTCCTGCTGTATGCTCGATTGACCACTTGATATTTATACCATATCGCCATCATAACGACAGCTTAACCCCAGATCTTTCAGTTCATTCGTCCCCATATCATTGATAAAGCGCATTAGAACAGCTCCAGCCTACCAAGTGCAGCATCAAAGTCGTAGCATACCGTCCGCACCAGTTCGCGCTTCTTGCGTTAACATCGCAACTTTTAGTGCTAATGAGCGGTGATCTTTAAAGCACAGTCTCTGGAATAGACATCAAATTGTTAGAAATTAGTGCGCAAGTTCGCTTAGTCTAACAAACATGTTTTATACTCACTCGGTAGATCTGGCCAGAAGCAAACGGCAGGATGAATAAATCTCTTCGGTCCATACAACATTTCACATTCTGTGCGTCACGGTGGCGCGTAATTTTAAGCGTTCCGCCGAATTATGCCGTAGATTGGTAGTAAACTGGCGTGTCAATGGAAGTAGCTTTAAAGGTCGAGGATGATGCTTTACAGCGCTTTTCTCGAGCGCACTTAAGCGAGATATACCGACTCATTATGAAGTTAAAGAGTCAATTGCAAAGAATCAAGCATGTCAATGAGTTTGCAGCGACGCGCGGCTGAGTGAGTAGCATATAGACACGGAATGTTAACATGGTGATGGTACTGACGTCAAAATTTGGATCTGGCTGCAGCAATCGTGCTCACAATCGAATGGTGTTTTTAAAGCTGATAGCTTTTTCATTTGGAATGGTTTTGATCCCATTGAGCACATTTTACACCGTACGCAGTTTCTTCAGCAATGGTATGCAGTTAATTCAACTTGAATCTGCTACTTTTTTCTTATGACGTATCATGTCACTTTTAGGAGTAATTAAAAGCCAGTATGCAGATGCATGGAGGTACGGGGGTATCATGCGAATAATGGAGTGTGTTCTTACGTCATTTCTGGGTTTGTTGATAGTGGCTTCTCGGCAGTGGTGTCTGTAAATATTGTGATTGGACTTTATATTCTTTCAGCGTGGAAGGAAGATGACGGGAAGGTTGTGGCTCCACCAGTTGGGCGATTTCTTAAAGCAAAAGAGGAATGATCGTACATGTTGTAGGAATTGATTGTTTTTTACCCGTTAGTTATCAACGAGCTCCTTGGTGTGAATCCAATACAAAGATTTCAATTATCGTGCACCTTTCAATTGCTAATGTTTTCAGACACCACTGCTCATTAACAATCGATTCCCCAAGCATAAGTGGCAAACGACATGTGACCCATTCCCCAACCACCAAATAACTTTTCAGCTTCTGATTTGCTTTCTTCCATGCCAGCACCAGCGCCAACAACGAATGGAATAAAATGGTCAGGTGTCGGATGCGCGAGTTTTGCAGCAGGAGCTACAGACCAGTTAATGATCTGGTCGTGACGTTGACCATAGCTCAACTCAGATGTAAAAGTGCTATCAAGCCAACCTTGAAATTGAGCAGCCCATTCAACTGGTGTGTGCTTTAGATCGCAACTTGCACGCAAATTATGCGTGGCCTGACCGGAGCACAAGATGAGAGTATCATCATTGCGGAAGTGTGCAATTGCCTTGCCTAGGTCAAAATGCGCTTTATTGCTCAGACGCAAGTTTATGGACATTGTAACAATAGGAATGTCGGCCTCTGGACGAATTAAAACCATTGGCACAAACACGCCGTGATCGAATCCACGATCAACAAGCTTAGCTTTGATATGATTCTTCTCGAGATGCTTCTTGACTTTTTGAGCAAACTCGGGATCACCTTTGGCCGGGTACTTTACCTGATAGGCTTCGTCAGAGAAGCCATGATAATCAAATATCATGTTGGGATTGGCAGCGGACGAAATCTCGAAGCCATCACTCTCGGAATCCCAATGGGCAGATACATACAAAATTCGCTTGGGAAGGTTACTTTTCTTCGGATAAAGCTTGTCGAATATAGTTGTTAACTGGCGTGCAGACTCACTATTCTTATCCAAGCCGGCAAACCCTGAGGAAAGTAACCAGAGTGGACCGGGTCCATGCGAGAGGGTGACAACAGGGTGGCGGAAGGTGACCATGTCAAGAGATTCTGTTTGGCGGAAGTAAAACTAACAGCGGCTCAATTTTTTGTTTGTTTGACTCTAACAACACTACAATAGATAGAATGTAATATTGAACGTAAAAGCTAGAAGATCATCTGATAGGTCTGGAATACATGAAGCAGATGCTATGGTGTGTATGTTCTGCATGCATGATGTCCACATAATTTATATAGTTTTTTTGGATGTTATACCAAATTTATGATGGAGTTTTTTTTGGCAACATTGCATGTTGGTCCATGGAACATTTGAGATCCTCGAGTTTGTCCGGCTTTTACCGATTACAAGATGGTGGACATCAACACTGCCGTCATATCTGCTATGTCTGCCGTACATATGGAGATTTTTCAGCATGGATATTTTGATTTAGCTCGATATTAGTATCGGAAATACAGGGCACAGTAAATTTCGTCAAATCGTCGGAGGTGCTATCGACTTTCGTTCTCGCGACTAATTGCTGTCCACTCTGTTGTTGATTGCTGCATGAACATTTTGAGTACTATGATGCTTCGCTGTCTGTATTGAATCTCTTTGTGGTCGTTTCAACTATTCGTAGGTTCGCTATCAAATCAATGTTGTAAGAAATAGCATCTACAATCAAGTCTTGAAAGAGCAGAGAGGAAGCTAAAGTGGCACTTACTCGTTAAATTTTATAGTTAGGAGATGTAACAGCTATTATATGAATCTGTTTCATCACACAGAAAACCAGGTGTGTTCAGACTTAGATGATATGAGGCTTTGTTGAGATGACCAGTTGAACAACGAAGTTGCAGCAGCGAGTCCTCCTGGAAGTGCAAATGAATTGCCTCCATGGCGCGTGTGGCCGACCGTATCTTGGCTTAATGATGGATCAACGCATTGCGCAATAATATTCAATGCCTTGGCGTCGTTCACAAGCCACGTCAACGCGATATTGTTCTCATCCCTGAGTTCTAGAAGACCTTTCTCGCCTAAGTCGTCCTCATATTGACCTCAGGAAAAGCTCCAAGTTTTCGACACTGCATAGTCGCGCCATGATGACGCGTCGACTTTACGACTTCAAGAATGAATAACGTGGTGGAACATTACTAGGACTTGTTGTGGGACTCCAGGCAATTGGAAAGCCAGTCGACTGGTCGCGCCTTTCGGCGGTATCAACCGCAGTCTGACGTCGAAACATGACTTGTTTTCATCGATTGTGGAAACTGCAAAGAACAACACATGGATCGAAGTTAAAAAGCTGCACAGGATGGAGTTTACGGACTAAGCGTTTCGCATGGACAGAAGCGCTGGGGGTTTGAAGCAACGTTCGAAAACGCGGACCTGTACGCAATAACAGCGAGTTTGATAACAAGTGGAATTGAGTCTAAGTTGGCCACATGATGTGGAAATGACTGAGTGGAAAACGAGTCGGCATGGTATTTGCAGTAGGCGAAGGACGATCAGCAGAGTAACTTATCGACAGTGGCGCCACATTCCCCTTGACCCCACATATGAAGGACTTGATAGAATGCAAGGACCTTATACAAGCGTCGAAGTAATAATTGCCGACGACAAAAAGATTCTCGTCAGAGTAACCGACATCGAGAATTTGAGGGTAGAAAGGATTTGCATGATAGATGTTTTGAAATACCCAGCACCCGACCAAAAATTGTTGCCTGTTAGTAAGCTTTTGGAAAGCGGCATGAGTCTGAAGCTTTTGCGTTCGGTGTATGTTATCGAGAACAAAAAATGCGATAACGTCGGGCATAAGATTCGGAAAAGCTTACATGCTGGGTTGTGAGTAGAATGAAGCAAGTTACGTGGAATCTCAGGACTGACACTTAGTGAAAACTTTGGCGTGCATGCATGGGAACACTCGAGTAATAATGCTTTATTCAATACACAGCTCTCGGCCAAACGCATTCCGATGATCCAGAGAAAGACAATAACGTTGTGTACCGTCTGTTTGAATGCTAAGCAGGCAGTCATCTACCTCACGTTCGTCACGAAGACACTACGTACGCTGGAGCGCGTGAACACAGAATTTATAGGTTTAATGTGAACTCCCTCAAAAGTAGATGCAAATTACACCCTCACTTTCGCGGATAATAATTTCAAGATATGTTGCGATCTACTCGATCAAGAACAGGAGTAAAGTAGTCGTCAAATTCATGGAACTTCAGACTCTTGACAAAAAATAATGGGGTGCTCTCCTCAAATGCTTGAGATCCTATAACGGGACAGAATTTGCGAACAGAGTGATGACAAACATATGTCTTCAGATTGGCATCGTCCACCAACTTTCCGTTCCACATACCCCTCAGCAGAATGGGTAGCAAAGCGCATGAACAGAACTATCATAGAGAAGGCCCACCTATGCTTTACTACATTTTTTGACTGGATGGTGTATTGAAGTGGTGAAGACAGCGAATTATTTGATTTATCGATCCCGATATCACACCATATTAGTTGGTTTTTGAGATGAAGCCTCGGATGGATCATTTACGCGCGTTAGGGCCACAGAGTTAAGCTCACAAAGAGAATAAAGCTCGAGCCCAAGAGCTTGAAATGTTTGTATCTAGGTTGTCCGGTTAAAGTCGAGGATTATCGCGTGTTTAACACCGGATAATCTCAAGGATCAAATGACCCGCTCTGTGCGACTGAAACAGCACTAAAGACTAGCAAGAGCTACAGCCAGAGGCGACCACAAAAGCTATCAGGAACAGTGATGATAGCTATGATCGAAACTAAGTAAACTGACAGTCAGTTCGGAATGAATCTATGAAATAGTCAAAGATCCAGCCGGAGACGTCGAAATGAATGATGTTGATCGTGCAAAAAATGTCGGCATACAGCAGTTGATGTTGTTTTGAAAGCAGGTTGAAGCTAGCAGAGTATCGCTCATCTCTTCATACGCGTCGAGAAGATTGTGTGGTGTCTTGGCCACAAGAGGAGGAACCAAACGAATACTTGAACCGGTTCTGATGCTAGGGAACGGCTCAGATGATGAAGTGGGAACAGAAGGAAGTGATAGTCCACTACTTTGAAAAGTGCTAGGATTGAGGAAGTCGGACCGATTGTCAATGCTGTTCATCTGTACATGGCGAGAAGTGAGAATTATAGCGAAATGCAGCTACATACACTCAAACAATGTCAAGCAACGATACCGTAAAGTTGTGTGAAGCTATCAAAGCTAAGCTTTGCTCCCATGAGCCGAGCCAAACATGGATATTCATAAAGAACAGGATCACGACGGGTCTTTGCCAAAATGTTCGATCAAAATCGCAACGTTGTGCGGTACAAGGCACAACTTGTCGCAAAGGTTTTCACGGGGATTTCCACTCGGTCTCCAACATGAATGTAATTCGAATGATACTTGCTGTGTGTACTACCGAATGGACCAACTAGATATTTACAAACTTTGCCGACAGACAATTTTTATATGGAAGTTCCGCTGGGTTTAGACAATACTCAGGGATACGTCTGTCAACTATAAAATGTTATCGACGAATTATAACAAACAGCAAGTATCTATAACAAGACAATACATCGATCCTTGTGAAATGGTATTAGTGGTTGCGGGGGATAGCGCGTTTATGTCAAACAACACCTGGAATGAGTTCCTACGTCAGGCCATATGTGAATCGCATGATTGTCGAAGCAAAACAAGCAGGGAGATCAATCGAGGCCCAAAATGCAGTCAAAATGAAGGAGCTGAGCCAGTCGAAGTCCATTTTGAGCATGGAGATTGACCGCGATAAGTCAGCCGAAAAAATTATGATCAAGCACACTTGCTGCATCGACTACGTGGCTTAGTGATCAGGTCCAATATGTTACAAAGTACCAAAAACCCGTGCGTATCAGTAAAACGTGACTTTCTTCCAAAGCAGTGGTAGCATTGCGGTTAAGGTATACTTGGATGCTTAACGGGACAGCAAAATCGATGATATACATTCGGTCTCAGAAGTTATGATTATGATTGCAGGCGCGCCAGTGGTGCTCGAGTCACAGTATCAGCGGACCGTTGCACTAAGCTCGGCGGAGGCTGAGTTGACGGCGCTTGGCTTTGCACTCAAAAGTTCTTGACATGTGTGCGATGCTTAAGGTAATGAGTCACGAGCAAAAAAAAAGATGCACAAGTATATGAAGACAGCCGAGGTAAGGTTGCTATAGCCAACAACGGCGAATACCATGCTTGGACGAAGCTCATGGATACAAGACACCAATTCATTCACGAGAGCATGCAAAAAAGAGCCTTGGAGATCTGCTGCATAGACACGAAGCAATAACTTGCAGATATGCTGATGGATATATTCAAAGCCAAGATGCTTGCGTTTATACGCGAGTCAGCAGGTATAAAGGATAAGCAAATACCAAAGAGCATAGATCATCAACGACAAGTGGGAGATGAGATGACCGCCTGGCACTGTTGGAAAACAATATTGCAAAAAAAATATATCTCACATGCATGAGTTTTGCATTTGTTTGCTCAAGGAACAAAATCAGATGAGGTATCCTAGCGGTTAAATGTGGTGGCTCCACTTTCATTATTAAAAGCTCAAATTCCTCAAAGGAAAATGGTGCTTGGGGTCTACTGTGGGGTGCAGCGAGGCTGTCGTAGCTCTTTCGCTTAGATGAGACTAAGCTAAGGTCGGTGACCTTCGTTCTGTACTTAGAACCGGTACGAATGTAGCGGATCAAAATTCGCTGACTCCAAGAGTAACCACAACCCTTAACCCAAGGCAATTAAACTCTTCCGTTTTCTATAGGTTTTCCTAATTAAATAAATAAACCTAGTTGAAATGCAAACTACTGGCAGTCCAGCCACGTACTGACTTCTTGGTAAGGTGTAGTCACACCATTGTGTGATTACACCGTCTTGTGCAATCCACATTCTTGTATGGTCAAACCGTCTTGTGTGACCTACCCCTTCATACCAGGGTACGCGTACCCGTAACATGGGGTGCCTAGCACGTTCCTAAGTTTCGCGTTCTCTTAATTGTCTACAGATCTTAAGTCATTACGGCATAGTAATTTGCTATAGATAATGACACTTTTATTACGAGAAAACATGGCAACATCAAAAACTATTTTACTTTGGGTTACACCAACAATTGGTATGCTTGAGAGCGTTTGAATCGAGACTCGCTGTATTGACGAATGTTTACGCCGTCAGGTTTTGGCTACTCATTCTCGTTGGACTTACAGTACGGCTTCAAAAGGGCTGATACAGAACAAATACTGGGAATTTTAAATCCTTGGTGGGGGAAGTGTTTTGTATCATAGACGTGCGCACCATTCCTTGAACGTTCATGATATCATAAGTGCCATGCACCATCTACTAGGTCACACAGATAGCTCTGGCTGATGATGATCAAGCTGGTGATGATCTGGGTAAATTGTGCCAAGCTGGTGTCCTCTTTGGCAAACAGATTAGTATGTTTAAAGGTGGCTTAAGAGCTAAATTGGGGATGAAATAATGTGTAATCTCCTATTGTAAATAACGCGGTTTTAGTCCCTTTTTGAGGGGCCCTCGCCAAACTAGAAATTCTCTACACTTCACTCATCTCAGCACGATGTATCTTTTGGCGCTCTACACTTCACCTCTTCTCAGCTCGATGTGTCTTTTGGCGGAGGGCTCTACGACATTCAGCTGTCGACGTCCAGTTGGTTACTAGTGGGCTGGACCTAGATCAGTAAGCCAAACTTGCACGCCTGCAAGTCGCGATAACGTATCCAGACGCGATCACGTTGTGATTTGATCATGGATTTCATCTTGCAAAAGTTGTCTGTCCCTAACACACCTATATACGAGCTTGTGCGCAATCACAGAGAACAAACGAGCACTCGAAAGTTGCTTCACGAGCGGTTTTCGACCCCTCGAGTAACCACTTCTCAAATGTGCCGCATGCGCTTAAAGCAACAGCAAACTAATTAAACCGTACCAATGACCGTACCAATGACCATAGCTTCGGTTCTGAACGAATAATATCGCATCCAATTTGCGTGCTGAGAAAAGAAAAGCTGTCGTTATATCCGTCTCTTAACCATTCGAGTAAACCCAGCAAAGAAGGCGTCAAGATGAAAATTTGCTTAATGCTTCGCTTTGCAAAGCTGGTGAACGTGAGGATGGAAAACCTGCCACCTCGAGTGCTTGCTGTCGATGACCCAGCTCATATCCATGAGTCTTTTAGTACACATCCCAACCACGTCTCAATTTGAACAAAATTTAGACCCGCTCGCCAATAGGAAGCGCAATGCATTCTGAGACCCTGTCTCATTTATCAAGAATGTAACTACAAATACCCCTGCCGCGATCGGGCCAGGGCATGTTTGCCGTAATCTTTTGTGAGGTTGAGGCCTCCCATTCATTTCAACCCTGGTGAGCTTGCACCCAATACTTATTCTACATAATACCTACTCCTCAGTTATATTTTAACTCTTAAGCTGTCCCTCGACAAAGTATTGCTCTTACATGGCTAATCGGTGTCCATCGTTATATGGACACCGATTAGCCATGTAAGAGCAGCAAAGGTTCGTCAGACTCTGTGCAGGGTGCTTGGCCAATAAAGAACATATCAACAGTAAACAACCCACTGGCAAATCGTCAGATAGCATGCAATAAATACGTGGCAGAGGATGTCCTCTGAAGCACTCGTGCGGTAAGACCGCGGTACTGAATTAAAATGCATCCGCTTCGCTAAAAAGTGCATTACAAGACTTAACAGATGTAACATCATTTATCAACGGTGAATGAGGATGAATGGAATATTTTTATGTCGCCGCCGTGAAGAAGTTTCAGTTTCTTAAGAAAGCGGAGTAACAATCAGATTTGACACCATATATCAAATGGTTATTTGTACAGATGTCCTGCGACGAATGCACAACGCCGTGGCTAAGAACCAGGATGAGCAAAAGCAGCATGTGGATGTCAGATGTGGACAAAATGCACGTGAATGTGTGGTGGATGACAAATTTATATTAAGCGCCGTTAAGATACCTTTATCTACAGTGCTTGTAGAACATAAGATTGTGTTGCGGCCTCGTACATCAGAAGGTTACACTCTTAAACAAAAACATCACACTGTGTGCTGCGCGGGATTATCGAAGACAAACCACGACTCCGATCTTACAAGTCATTTGAATATGATGTGCCAGAGATAAAGCAAAGTCTCAATCACCACCTGCAGCTGAGCTACCTACTGCTCAAGGGAAGTAATCAAACTCTGAGCCGCTTGAGGCACTTGGTACGATGGCCCCCGATATTGTACCCATGAGCTGGCTCACGACAGAGTTGACCGCATGCCGACAATTTCGGAGAGATAATGTACTGTCAATGTATTGCCACTGCTGAGCGAGCTTACAAGTGCCACCCACGGAAGATTTTTCCTGCGCGCACTTTATGACTATAATGAGCTAACAGCTGCGGAATCTTTCACTCTGCTCAAATGAAATACAAAGACAGCAAGACAGTTTACAAAAGATACCTTTCCGGAAGCCCAAAAGTAGAGTATTGGAACCAGAAAACTGACCAAAGGTGCCAACGAATGCGGCGAGATATTGATGTTGGCAGTGTGCACTTGAAGGAATGTCAGATATACATGTTTTTCCATCAACCTAGAGCACCAAGAGAAAGAGATGGTCTTTCTATTATTTAAATGACCGCCCGATATTTTATGTGTCTAACATAGTATATTTCAGATAAATTCTTCATCGCTAAACTCATACGTTGAATCTATTGTAAAGCCAGCCTAGGTATATGGAATAACGAACAACAAAATATTTTGATAAAGCGGCATTCGAGCTCAAAACTTATTGCATCCCATGCTTTTCAAAATTCAACATATGTTACATCTGGTCCACAACGTGTACGTTTTGCCTCATCAATCGTCGATGTACACTCACTACATGTGACGGTCCGGTATATGGAATAACGAACAACAAAATATTTTGATATAGCGGCATTCACGCTCAAAACCCATTGCATCCCAAGCTTTTCGAAATCTAACAAATGTTACATCTGGTCCACAACGTGTACGTTTTGCCTCATCAATCGTCGACGTACACTCACTACATGTGACGGTCTATTGTTGCAACAGACACCACATGAGGCTGACCCTGCTTGTCCCTCACCCACGGAGGCATACTAGCCAGAGGAAAACTATATTAACGTTTCCTGCGAGAGTTGTGGTAACGACGTCGCAGTGCGCAACGGCTGATCCGTTTTTATCGATCCTTAACACCCAAGATGTATTTTATACGTTATAATAGCATATCTCATAACAAGAATTTCCTTATTATGCACTCGATAGTACTTCTCCGCTGATTTAAGATTTATCTCATAACGCGATGACGCGTTCATGCCCATTGACATCGGTTTGGAGTGAAAACGCAGTCTGTGGCAATGACCGAAGCGTCATAGATGACATTCGTAGGCCGATCCTGATTTGGCGGGACCAACAGTGAAGTCCTGGTGATGCTTGCTTTCACAATAGCCCGCTTCTTCCATTACACCCCAACACCCAAATGTATGATCGTTTCTCCATCAAAGCGTAGGACCGCGACCACTGCTACTCTGTCTTCCGAGCCTAACTCAAGGTACTTATCAATGTCATCGCTAGCCATCCGTACGACACTTGTCCGGTGCCAAAGCTATTGTAGCTTCATGTCTGTACCAGAGGAAACCATCTTACCGGCAGAGACGGATTCGTGACCCAAAAAAACTATCAGTGGGAGAGAAATGCGTTCATTGAATCGTTTTACTTTCGATCAGCAGCTTATTGAAAGTACTACACAACTTAGAATGTTACTTAAGTAAACTGAAACGCAGAATAATATTTTAAGTTCAAACTTTGTGTTTGATTGCTATTATTATTGCAATAAAAGTTAAATTATTTTATTCCAAATTTTTTTCATAAGATGTAGAAATGTAAAATTTCTGTATCGTTGAAAAGATGCTGGTAACGTTCGTGCTCGATACGAGTGCGTCTATGAATCAGAGCACGAGCTCTGGTATGACTTTGTTGGATTATGCCAAGTCGGCAGTAGAGCGCTTTGTGAAGCGTGTCCGCGACCCAAGCCGGCGCTATCAACACCATTTCATGCTGCTCTCATGTGGACACGACGGACGTCCCAATGGTGGAACTAAGAGTACGGAGTCAACGCCCTACAGCGGCCGCGTGCGCGTGGGATGGGATCAATCTACAAATAAGGAGGTTTTTTTATCTGAGCTTAAAAATTTGCGCGCTACGGATCTAAGCGACGTAGGCGCTGCGCTGAAACAAGCTTTTGAGCTCATGAATCAGATCCGTCTTCAATTTAATTGGGATAGCTATGGATTAGGTCGTGCACCTTGGAACACAAACGTATCTGTTTGTGTGCTACTTACAGACGCCACCAATCTTTCCAGTGCCGATGGCCTGATTCAAGACACTCTTACAATCACGCCGTCAAATGCTGTGGGGGCGGATTTGACACTTGAGCCTTATAGATGGGATCAGCGGCTTTTTACAATTGCTCTTAAGCTGTCAGCCACCATGACTGGTGTTAAAGCACAACCGAGCGTTCCTGCAGACTTAATGGCGCTCAGTGAAGCCACGGGTGGGATGCTTTACATGGCGACATCCAAGCCTGCAGTGGAACAGAGTATCGATCAGATCATTTCCAAGCTTAAAGCTGGAGCTGTGGTCAAGTTTAAATGTGACGTTCTGGAGGGAGAAGTAGAGACTCCGGTCACAAGAAACATTATCGCACCCATTCATAATGGGAAGGAATTTTGCTGGCCAGTAGCCGAAGCGTTTTGGCTCGATCGAAATACTGTCACACTACCAGCGCGAGAAGCTCATCCAACGTTAGTTTATACACGTACTGTGGAGAATGCAATCGAAGCGGCCACGAGTCATATGCTGCTCGATACGCTCAAGTTTCCAGCAGATAATTATGTGCTCGAGACGCCGATTATTCCTTCGCCGGGTCGTGGGCAACGCTGGTTGGTGTATGTGCAAGGCAGCAAAGGAGATGGACGTCTAGGAGATCCCATTGGGATGTTACGTGCGCCCAATTCTGGCCCTGGTTTACCCTCCTCGAACGCGGTACTTGTGCTATTACCATATAACTTTCCCAAGCTTTTCTCTTTGCTAGTGGAAGTTGCGCGAGTGTACCAGGCGAGTGGGCAAAATATCAACTCAGCGACAGGCACATGGATGTTTCAAGCCAAGGCTATGCCATCCTCGTGGAGAGAGTCATTTTCAGCGTATTTAAGTAGCTGTCCGCTATACTATCATGCTCCCTTGAAGAAGGCGCTACGTAAATACAATCTGCACGATATGGTATCAGAGGTTCAAGATTCAGGGCGAAGTTACCAGGTCTCTAGCTATTTGAATCGACTACGCGAGCAAGCTATTGCAGAGAGCGACAGCAACAACAAACTTTTCTCTCGAACCAGTCGAAACGATTCGTCGAGTGCCTTGCGAAACAGCAGTCTTCCCGAATCGTCTCCATCTGCGTCACCTAATGGAAATAAAGACGCAATTGGAGCAAATTCGACGGACGCGACGTTGGATGCTGTTGCCAATATGTCACTACAAGATCTGCGTGCTGCGCACCGAAAGAGCAAGGATTTGTTTTTTGGTAAAAGCTCGAAGCTTCAATTTCAGATAGCACTCCCTCGTGTGACGATATCAAAAGATGACTCCGTGCCTCTAAAGCTGACGCCAAGTTGGCGTGCTGTAGAGGAGGATGAAAAGCATTGTCAACCGATTGATATGATGAGTGACTATGAATCCCGACTTGTAAAAAAAGAAGCTCTTCGAAATCCCTTGACTGAAGCAGAGCCGGATGAAGACACTCCATCAGGACTGCGACGACGCCAATTGTGCTTTAATTTGGGAAATCCGTACAAAAAAAGCTCTTCGAAGGTCAGCAATGTGTATCAAGGCGAGGCCGCTGATGAAGCAGCGGCATTAGGAGGCCATTCACCCAAGCGCCAACGTACGCGAAAGCGATTATCCCAACTCAAGCGCGACAAAAAGCACTCGAAGCGCTCACTTCGAGTGCATGGCTCTCCGTCTTCTAAATCTTCACCTGGGTCGCCATCCCACTCATCTGCTTCTAGCACTTCTTCAACCGTGTCGTCGCCTGATCGAAGTGATGGTGGCGATTCCGGGCTGACGGACAGCTCGGTGGAATCGAATTATTCTGTAAAGGCAGAGGCTGCACAAATGCTGGGAATACCTCTCCACGATGGCGATTTTGTCGAGAACGATAAGAGCGTCAGCTTTGTTCAGCACGTTTACGGGATCTTAGCAGAGAATTGGGAATCATGGAGTACGATTATTCGCCTAATCAAAGCGCGCTCGATCACGCAGCAGGTAGGACGAGCAAATATTGTGTGCTATCTTGAAAGGTTATTCAAACTTTTTTATCTCTTCATAGGAAAAAGAATTTGTTCTAAGTGGCCTTCGATCGATGAAGGGTGGTCCGACAGCAGTGAAGACTTACATCAAGCAAGCAATATACTACTCTCAGCAATTTCGACAGAATGCTTTGGAGCTACAGCTGAGGCAATTACTGATAGCAACAAGCAAATCGGACGAGTTGTCGTCTGATACGTCTGAAATTAAAGCAGCAACGTAATTTATCGTCGCTGCCGCCTTCATCATTGTCCGTAAATTTGTAGTTGATTTCAATGTTGATGTAGTCAAAATCGTTGCTGATCATTAGTTGGCTCTAACTTCGCCTCGAATAGTCACGAAACGACACCAAAACAAAGCACGACAAAGGGACGCCCACGTGCTTTATATTATGAGCAGGCGCAAGTCAAATGAGGTAAGGATATGCTGAAAAATCGCTTGCTTATGTATCAGCGGGTGAAATCAAACTGTTGAATGCACCGTAGACTGCAAATGCGGCGTCTTTAAGCTTCATACTTCAGGCGCTAGACAAGTATGACCAACATGACACCAGCTCAACACAGTCAGCATTTGGATCGTTTCTCGAAACTAAAGAATTAAAATCTTCGACAGCAGTCTTGTCAACCCACACTCGGCCATCTAAACTCTCGACTCACAAAAGCCCCGCTGAACGTAGTCTGCGACCACACAGAGCTGCTAAACAAGCACATACTCCCTCATTAAGTGATCGAGTGAATAGGACGATACCTGGTACTTTGTCGGGAGCTGCTCTAGCGGATTGGTTGGAAATTAAATGTCCTCGTGATTGGCTTGGCCATTCAGGCATCACTTCTTCGATTTCGCATGCAACGAGGAATAATGATCCGTACACATGCATTACAGACTCATTTGTGCCATTGTGGTGCTATTTTGATATTGAGGAAGACACTTGCTTGTTTGGTAAGCATGCAGACCTGATCAATCATTTACCGATCAAAGCAGTTGGTCTCCCGCTGGATGACACTACTGGTATCGCAGGAGGTTGGTCTAGTTGCACGGTGACAGCCTTTGACGTGTCACTTGATCGCTTGATTGTCTCCTGGTCTGCTGGGAATCGCGTTGGATCGCCATTAATGCACCGAGGTCTCTTGTGCCTGGAGACGGATGACTGCAAGGCCTTCGTCCAGCGTATCATACGCGCCGTCCATCGTCGTGAGCAAGCTGAGGCGCTGTTGCGGCAATCGCTATACGTAAAATGCATGCCAATTAGTTCAGACACTCAGCTGGACTCACAGATCATCACTAACATATTTCATCTTACTTTCTCGTCGTCAGTTCTATCGTCGAATATTGGCTCATCGACATTGCTGGAAGAAGTAAATGCTGACTATGTATACACGATGAACAAACTCCTGTTTGAAACTAATGTGGAAGGCATTCAAACAGAGTTTATTGAGCTTAAACTGCCCAAGAAATCACTTACGCCACCTCCGCCCCCGTTCGGAGTCATCTCAGTACCACGCTACGATTTTAATCGCAAATTATTAGATATTGCAACAAATCAGTTTGTTAACATGTCATTTGCGGTGAATGCGTTGCTCGATGTCCGTCGTACCTGTGTTGACGTGGGCACGCAGAAGCTGCTAATGGAACAGCAGCCTACAGAGATCGGCTTTGGTGTTGGTGCTCGACCACGAGCTAAAAGTATCTCGCTGATTGAGTTTCATTCGTTGCATGCTCAAATGAGTCACATAGCTCTGCGTTTTATGCGGGATAATTGGACGCGGTTAGCAGCAAAGCGCATTCAGCAGCACTTAATAGAGGCAAAGAATCCGCTATTTAATTCAGCAGAGTCCAATCGACTAAAATACCTGGAAATGCCACTATGCCGCTTTCTGCAACGCGTTAATTATATGGTGGATGATACCCTTCAGCTGCTCATCCGGCAGAACTTTAAAAGCTACTTACAATTTGTAGAGGACATGGCGGGATACGATGTCTTGATACGGGGACCATGTGATACTTGCGAATTTCTGTTAACCCCGGAGCATACAAAAGGACAAGAGGTCGAGTGGATTCATCACTCCGCACTAACACATCAACCTTTCTTTCGAGTTGATTTGATTATTTCCTCAGAGAAATATATTTTAAACCAGGATGAAGTAGATAAGCGAGCTGCAGAGATTCAAGAATGGGTTTTAGTCAATAGTCAGGATCGATCAGCGCAGTGTCCGATAATGCCTGTACCTCTCCAAGAAGGGTGCAGGTTTGAATATGCAACGAAACCAGAGGAATTCTTGAATGCAGTTGTCGGTCAACTTGATGTTTTTCTTGATCGTCTTAAAGCGCTTGAGGTGGTGGAAAGACTTGTAATGGATCGAATTTTTTGGCCCGACCAAGAGAGTTTTGCATGTATACAACATTCTGCACAATCAGTAGTTAGTTACAAAGAACGTGTGGAAGTCATTGTTAAGCGAGCTATTCAGCCGCTGTTGGAGTACTATCGACAGTTTGACCAGTACGTTACCTTGCTTAATCTTGACGTCGATACTTATCTGAAGACGATCATATCTGCACAACCTGAAGATATACTTGAGGACAGAGACGATAAATCTGCTGCGATTCATCCTCCCATGGAATTGAACGAACTTCGGCGATTACTAACTTATCACCGTGTGGAAGAAGAGAAGATATTGAATACTATTCCATCTCGTGCAGTTAATCTTGGATTATTTCAAGTTGAGCTGACCAATATTCGCTTTTTGCTGGCGAAAAAACACCGGGACTGCTTTGCCGGGTTACTTGACGCCCACGTAACATACTGTTTCCAGCTAGCGACACGGATCTCGAGCAAATTTGACGCAATTAATCAAGATTTGTCGTCGACACCAAAGGATATCGAGAGCTTATCAGCTTTGCAAGAATATATCACTGGCCTTCCTGCACTTCTAGCCCCATTGCAAGATGAAATCGATCAAATGATGCGTGACAATGCTCTCATCGATGAATTTCATCGTTATTTAAGCGACGAGCACTTGCGTCTTATGTGGAAAGTGCATGGCGCACCCTCCAATATTCTAGCTCAAAGTGCGCGCTTTCAACAAGCACTAGAAGAGCGCAAGAACAAGTTTGCGAAACAGATGGAGTCCGAACAAGAACGATTTGAAAAGACCTTAGCAGGGTTGCAAGACGAAATTCAGACATTTTCTCGCTACGACAATTTGGCCTTTATAGAAGACGTGGCACATCATGCTTTGGCTATCGAGCGGAAGCTAGAGCAAGCTCAACAAGATTCTATGCTATTCAATACCCGGGAAGCACTTTTTGGACTCGAAGTGACTTCGTATGATGCATTAGCAAATGCAAAGAAGACATTTGAGCCTTATTTTCTGCTCTGGTCCACGTCGTCTAATTGGATTCAGAGTCGAAAATTGTGGACTGAAGGAAGTTTTGGCAACATTGATGCCGAACAAGTCGAAAAGCTTGTGGATGGATACAGTAGTGGAATCCAGAAGGCATATAAATTCTTTAGCAATAACAATAATGAAGCATGTGCAACCATCGCAGCGACCGTAAAAGAGCAAATCTCCATCTTTAAGCCATACGTACCGCTTCTTGTTGCTCTGCGAAACCCTGGTATGCGCCAGCGTCATTGGGAAGACTTGAGCAAAACTCTCGGCTTTGCACTAGAAATCGACGAAAATTTCACGCTAACTAATGTATTTCAGCTCAACTTACTGGATCGTATCGATGACATTGTGTCTATCGCCGAGGGTGCTGGGAAGGAATTTCAGATTGAGCAAGCGTTACGAACGATGAAAGGAGCCTGGGAAGCTGTTGACCTGCATATCGCAGCTTACCGTGAGACAGGAACTTACGTGATCAAAGGCGTGGATGAAATTCAAGCGATTTTAGATGAGCATATTACAATGACTCAAGCCATAATGTCTTCGACATTCAAACGAACGTTTGAGGAAGAAATTGCCGAATGGAATGTAACTCTTCAGCTCATATCAGAGGTGTTAGAAGAGTGGATTGCAGTACAGCAGAAGTGGCTGTATCTGCAGCCCATTTTCGAATCGCCCGACATTAATAAACAGCTTCCTGCTGAGGGAAAACGCTTTAGCTCAGTGGATAAATACTGGCGCCAAACTTTAGCCTCTGCAAAGGCTAAGCCAAAGTGTGTTGAGTTCTGTTCTAGCCAAAAGCTCTTGGAGAGACTTCGCGAGTCGAACCAATTGTTAGAGCTGGTACAAAAAGGGTTGAGCGACTATCTTGAGGTCAAACGGTCGGCATTTGCGCGATTCTACTTTCTTTCAAACGACGAGTTACTGTCCATCTTATCGGAGTCTAAGGATGTTAAACTCGTGCAGCCTCACCTAAAAAAATGCTTTGAAGGTATCGTCCAAGTCACATTTGAAGATGATCTAAAAATTAGTGCCATCATATCAGCTGAAGGGGAAAAAGTTCCCCTTACGAGTGTAGTAGATCCGAAGGGCAAGGATGTGGAACAGTGGATGATGGAAGTGGAAAACATGATGAAGACGTCGATACGTGATATCATGGAGCGCGCTATTGCAAACTACACAGAAATAGATCGCGTGCTTTGGATTCAAAAGTGGCCTGGAATGTGCGTTCTTAATGGTAGCCAAATGCATTGGACGCGCGAGATGGAGGAAGCCATGGATGCAGACGGACGTGAAGGTGTGCGAAAGATGATGACTCGACAGCTGGGCCAGCTCGCTGATATGGTTACTCTGGTGCGTGGGAATCTGGACAATATGGCTCGCATCACTTGTGGAGCGCTGACGGTGATTGATGTGCACGCTCGAGATGTGACTCACAAACTGGTTACACAAAACGTGGAATCAAAGGGAGATTTTCTATGGAGCTCCCAGCTAAAGTATTACTGGACGAACAGGAATTTGTGGGTTCAGGCTGTGACGTCACGTCGACCGTATGGGTACGAGTACCTTGGCAATTCGTTCCGTTTGGTAATCACGCCACTAACGGATAAATGTTATCTGACTCTAATGGGAGCTCTACAAATGATCCTCGGTGGGGCTCCTGCTGGACCTGCTGGAACTGGAAAGACTGAAACGACAAAAGATCTAGCAAAAGCGCTGGCAAAGCAGTGTGTTGTCTTCAATTGCTCTGATGGTCTGGACTACATTGCCATGGGAAAATTTTTCAAGGGATTGGCATCATGTGGAGCTTGGGCTTGCTTTGATGAATTTAATCGGATAGACATAGAAGTGTTGTCTGTTGTTGGCCAACAAGTGGTGACTTTGCAGCTAGGCATTCGTCGCGGCGATACGCGCATCATCTTTGAAGGTTCTGACATCATACTTAATGATCAATTTGGCGTCTTTATCACGATGAATCCTGGATATGCTGGACGGAGTGAATTGCCCGACTCGCTTGCAGCTCTGTTTCGTCCTGTCGCAATGATGGTACCCGATTATGCGCTTATTGGCGAAATTATGTTTTTCGCCTATGGTTTCTCTGACGCACGTGCACTTGGTGCGAAAATGGTGACAACCTTCAAATTATGCTCAGAGCAACTATCATCTCAGTTTCACTATGATTACGGTATGCGTGCTGTCAAAACAGTAATTACGGCTGCTGGGAACCTCAAACGCGATGACCCCGATATGGATGAGGAGGTATTACTCTTACGTGCACTACAAGATGTTAATCTTCCAAAATTTCTGGCACACGATATACCATTGTTCAATGGTATTATCAGCGATCTCTTTCCGGGAAAATGCCGCCCAACTTTAGACCTCGGAGCCCTTATTAGCGCGATAAAACTACAGACCTGTCGTTTAAATTTGCAGCCCGTGCCGTACTTTTTAACAAAGTGCATTCAACTGTACGAGACGATTGTCGTGCGACATGGTTTGATGGTTGTTGGCGCTACAGGAGGAGGAAAGTCTTGCAACATCGCAGTACTCGCCGACGCCCTTACAGAACTCAAGCGACGGGGTGAATGTGGTTTTGCGTTCGAGAAAGTGATCAAATACCAGCTTAATCCGAAGTCAATTACAATGGGACAGCTGTATGGTGAGTTCGATACAAGTACGCATGAGTGGCAGGATGGCATCTTGTCAACACTTTATCGGACAGCTGCCAGTGATACCAAGCCCGATCGCAAATGGGTGATTTTTGACGGACCAGTTGATGCCATCTGGATCGAAAATATGAACACAGTCCTTGATGACAATAAGAAGCTGTGTCTGAATAGTGGTGAAATGCTGCTGATGTCTCAGCAGATGACAATGATGTTTGAGGTTGAAGATCTTTTAGTAGCGTCGCCGGCCACTGTGAGTCGGACGGGGATGGTTTACATGGAGCCTTGCACCTTGGGTCTTAGCCCTTTAGTTGATTCATGGGTAGAAAATTTGCCAAGGTCTGTGACACCATTCGCACACATTTTCATGCGCCTCTTTGACGTGTATCTGTACTCAGCTGTAACATTCGTTCGCTCTTTTCTGGGTGAGCTAGTTCCTACAACAGATAATAATCTTGCGCGAAGTCTTATGAACATTCTAGACTGTACGCTGGACCCGTTCCGTGAAATAGTTGTTGATGGTACTGGTGAGCCTCTTCCAGCGTCAGTAACACCCGATGCTCAATTTCAAGACGATATTGAGCCTCTGTTTATCTTTGCATTAATTTGGTCAGTTGGGGCTTCAACAAATGACGCTGGTCGGATTCGGTTCGACAATTTTCTGAGGAGTGACTTGATGGCAAACAATTGCCGACCCGCAATTCCTTCTTCTGGACTTGTTTACGACTACTGCTACCAGCTTTCCAGTCACAACTGGGTACTCTGGATGAGCACTGTCACTCCATACAAGATTCCTCCCAATTCGTCTTTTGCTGATATCGTCGTGCCTACTGCGGATTCTGTACGTAACAGCTATCTCCTTGAACGGTTAATAGGTGCTGGGAAGCATGTCTGCATGGTCGGAGGAACTGGAACGGGCAAGACAGTAAATATTATGCGATATCTTCAGGCTTTACCCGCTGAAGCTTATATCCCCATTCCAATCACTTTCTCCGCGCAAACATCAGCAAACCAGACTCAAGACATGCTAGATTCTAAGATGGAAAAGCGTCGTAAGGGTGTGTATGGACCGCCAGCAGGAAAAAAGCACATCGTTTATGTGGATGATCTGAACATGCCTAAGCGTGAAAAGTACTTTGCACAACCTCCACTGGAATTATTACGCCAGTGGTTTGACCAAGGTGGCTGGTACGACCGTAAATTACTTGTCTTTCGTAGCATCATTGACATTCTATTCGTTGCTTCTATGGGTCCTCCTGGAGGTGGACGGAACCCAATCACGTCACGCTTGGTACGCCATTTCAATGTGGTCGGTTACGCTGAATTGGGTGATGATAGCAAAATGATCATCTTTAGTACAATCCTTGGCAATTTTTTGGGATCTGGATTTCCAACTGAAGTCGCTCGACTTTCGGAAAATGTCGTTAAGGCTTCTATAAGCGTCTACAATACGATTTGCCAAGAACTTCTTCCGACGCCAGCCAAATCACACTATACCTTCAACTTACGTGATCTTGCAAAGGTTTTCCAAGGTGTCCTGACGGGCGATAATCGGCGCATCCTGAACGCAGACTCACTTATACGTTTGTGGGTGCATGAGTGCAAACGAGTATACGAAGATCGGATGGTGTCCTCGCAAGATCACGACTGGTTTCGCAACCTTATGGGCTCAACCGTTAAAGTATATTTTGAGCGTGAAGTCAGTCAAGTTGTGACTCGTGAACACCTTATATACGGTGATTACCTGGTTCCAGGGGCTGATCCAAAGATCTATGAAGAAGTTGTCGATGTGGACAAATTGTTGAACATTATGGACGGATATCTGCTCGATTACAATGCTGAGAGCAAGTCTCCTATGTCGCTTGTTTTGTTTATGGATGCTGTGGAGCATGTCTCTCGAATTTCCCGCATCATTCGACAGCCAATGGGCAATGCTTTGTTGCTCGGTGTGGGTGGGAGTGGCCGTCAAAGTCTTACGAAACTAGCTACATTTATGGCTGGGTACAAGTGTTTTCAAGTAGAAATTGTCAAGGGATATGGTATTGTGGAATGGCGAGACGATGTCAAAAAGTGTTTGCTGCTTGCAGGTCTCCGAAATATGCCGGTTGTTTTCCTCTTCTCGGATGTGCAAGTAGTAAATGAGACAATGCTCGAAGATCTTAATGGGATACTTAATGCTGGTAACGTGCCAAATCTCTATGGACCTGAAGATCTAGATCAAATTGTCACGGCATGCCAAGTGGACTGTCAGAAACAACAACTTTCTCTGACAAAATCAAATATTTTCCAGCAATATGTCAACCGTGTGCGGCGAAATATTCACCTGGTCATCTGCATGAGCCCGTTAGGTGGCCGTTTCCGTGATCGTTTGCGAATGTTCCCTTCGCTAGTCAACTGCTCAACTATTGACTGGTTCAGTGAATGGCCTGCAGAGGCTCTCAATTCTGTAGCCTCTGCTTTTCTAGGCGATAGCAATTTAGGCCTTGGTGAAAAGCTTCCTGCACTTGTCGAATCTTTTAAGAATGTACACCAAAGCGTTGAGTTAGCCTCAAAACAGTTTTATCACCGGTTGCGACGATACTTTTACGTCACCCCGACCAGTTACCTGGAATTACTGTCGGCTTTCAAGTCCGTTCTTGTATCAAAACGGGACGAGCTCAATATGATGCGCAGTCGCTTGCAAAATGGCATGAACATTTTGTCTGAAACCAAGGCGATTGTAGCCATCATGCAAGCTGAGCTCGTGGAGCTTCAGCCTGTTCTGGCTGCAACTCAAGCGGAGGTAGAAGAGATGATGTTGCAGATTGCCAGCGATAGCGCTGAAGCAGATGTGACGAAGTCCACAGTTGAAAAGGAAGAAGCAGTGGCTAGTTCTAAAGCGAATGCGACGAAAGAAATAGCAGACTCGGCACAGCGTGACCTCGATGCTGCTCTTCCCGCGCTGGAGTCAGCCTTGGAGTGTTTAAATCGGCTTAAAAAGTCAGATATTGACGAAGTTAAAGCATTGAAAACACCACCCGCTGGTGTGAAACTGACGATGGAAGTGGTGTGTGTTCTCTTAGGTCACAAACCTGCAAATAGGCCAGATCCAGATCGACCTGGAAAGAAAATCAGTGATTACTGGGAAGTAGTTCAGAAAGTGGTGCTTTCAAATGCTAATAAGTTCTTGGAGAACCTTTTAGGCTTTGAAAAAGATAATATTCCCGAGGCCATCATAACTAAGGTTGCTCCAAGTATGAATGATCCAAACTTTACACCAGAAGCTATTGAGAAGTCATCAAAAGCTTGTACAGCTATTTGTATGTGGGCGCGTGCCATGTATACGTATCATTTTGTGGCAAAAGCCGTCGAGCCAAAGAAACAAGCGCTTGCACAAGCCCAAAACGAACTTGACGAGACGCTAGCAATTTTAAAAAGTGCGCAGTCAAATTTGCAGCAAGTTACCAACCGACTTGCTGACTTAGAACAATCGTATAAAAGCGCTGTTGCAAAGAAAGAAGAGCTTGGACAGAAAGTTGTGCAGTGTCAAGTTCAGCTTCAGAATGCAGAACGGCTTATTGGCGGACTAGCTGGCGAAGAAGCACGTTGGAAAGAGACCATTGCTCAGCTTACGCTTGACGGGCTAAATCTCACTGGAGATGTGCTAGTGTCCGCTGGTACGATTAGCTATCTTGGTGCCTTCACGGCTGAGTTTCGTGAGCAACTCGTGGCATCGTGGCACAATGCTCTCGTGAAACATCACGTGCCGCACTCTCCAGGATGCGATTTAATCCGCACGTTGCAGGATCCCGTCAAACTACGCGCCTGGCAGATTGCTGGACTGCCTACTGATACTGTGTCAACTCAGAATGGTATTATCATGGGGCGTGCGCGACGGTGGCCTTTATTGATCGATCCACAAGGTCAAGCGAATCGGTTTATAAAGAATTTAGGGAAAGACAAAATACTATGCGAAAATGGAATGGACGTTGTCAAACAATCGGATCGCGGATTCCTTCGCATCCTAGAGAATGGCCTTCGATTTGGCAAGTGGGTGTTGCTGGAAAATGTCGGCGAAGAGCTGGATGCTGCACTAGAGCCGATTTTGCTACAACAAAAGTTCAAACAGGGAGGCCAGGACATGATTCGACTGGGAGAGAATGTCATTCCATTTAACGACAGCTTTCGGTTTTTTGTCACTACCAAACTGTCCAATCCGCACTATGCTCCTGAAGTTTGCGTCAAGGTTAGTTTGCTCAACTTCACAATTACTATGAAAGGCCTCGAGGAGCAGCTCTTAGGTGTCGTTGTGCTTAAAGAGCTCCCTGAACTTGCAGCCAAGAAGAATGCATTAGTGGTATCAAATGCAGAAGGACAGCGACAGCTTTACGAGATTGAAAACCAGATTTTATTCCTCCTGTCTCACTCAGAAGGTAATATTCTGGACGATACAAATCTAATGGATACTCTGGCTTCTGCAAAAGAGACATCAACCGTCGTGATGGCAAAGATTCGTGAAGCAGAAGAAACGGAACGCGAGATTGACGCCCGTAGTGAGGGATACCGTCCTGTGGCTTTCCGTGCAGCATTACTGTTCTTTTGTATCGCCGATCTCGCTCTTGTTGACCCAATGTATCAGTACTCGCTAACGTGGTTTACCGGCCTGTTTGTGCGTAGTATTCAGGCAGCAAAGCCTTCAACTCATTTAGAGACTCGAGTCACTGAGCTGAACGACTTTTTCACCCTGTCAGTTTACAAGAATGTCAGCCGTTCTCTTTTTGGAAAGCACAAGCTGCTTTTTTCTTTCTTGCTGACGATCAAGATTATGCAAGGCTACAATGACGTGGATATGGGCGAGTGGCGCTTCTTACTCTCTGGAATGAGCACGAGCACACGCTCCCCCATCGAAGCGGAAAATCCGGCAGCGCGATGGCTCGAAGCGCATGCATGGCAACAGATTTGTGCACTTGCGACTTTTCCTGCGTTTAATGGTCTCGAGACTGAATTTTCGAGATATGTAGCTGTTTTCCGTGCAATCTTTGATTCAGCAGACCCGGAAAATCAGGCTTTGCCTGGTGCAGTTTTGTCGAAATTAGATGATTTTCAAAGACTTTGTTTATTACGCGTCTTGCGTCCTGATAAGATAATGGCTGGCATTCAAAATTTGGTGTGTGTAAAGTTAGGCAAGAAGTTTATTGAACCACCGCTTTTTGACCTCGCAAGTACGTTTGAAGATTCAAGTCACACAACACCTATTATATTTGTATTATCCCAAGGATCCGATCCAGCAAAGGATCTGCACGGCTTTGCCATAAGTATGAGCATGGAGAGTAAAGTGAAGTCGATTGCATTGGGCCAAGGTCAAGGCAACTTGGCTGCACGTCTTATTGAGAGTGCGACGATTAAAGGAGAGTGGGTACTTCTCCAGAATTGCCACTTGGCTCTTAGCTGGATGCCTGATCTCGAACGAATTTGCGAGGAGCTTGATCCAGCAAAGGTACACGAGAGTTTTCGATTGTGGCTCACGAGTATGCCAACACCTGTATTCCCTCCGTCGGTGCTTCAAAATGGTGTCAAGATGACAAAAGAGGCGCCTAAAGGTCTGCGTGCGAATCTCAAAAACACGTATTACAAACTGGATCCGTCGCGACTTGAAGCAACACATAAACCTGACGTTTTCCGAAAGCTGCTGTTTGGATTGTGTTTCTATCACGCCATTGTGTGTGAGCGGAAGCGCTTTGGCGCTCTCGGATGGAATATTCCGTATCAATTTAACGAGACAGACTTAGACATAAGCGTAGCTCAGCTTGAAATGTTCCTGGACACTTATGATTATGTGCCATTTGATGTGCTACAAGTGATGACATCTACCATTAATTATGGAGGACGGATCACAGACGATAAGGATATGCGAACCTCAGATGTCATTCTAATGACATTTTTCAAAGAAGACATTCTTCACAAAGGATACGCATTTTCAAAAAGTGGTCTCTACCACTCACTAGATTGTGACCCACGAAATGCCTATGAGGACTATATGAATTATATCGACTCGCTGCCAATGAATCTTGAACCCGAAGTCTTCGGCATGCATGAGAATGCCAACATCACCTGTGCTCAATCGGAGGCGTACGAGGCGTTCGATTTGTTGCTGTCATTGCAGCCACGAGTTATTTCTGGTGGAGGTAAACAACAAGAAGAAATTATTGCTGAAGCAGCGCAAGCAATCGCATCACAGCTCCCGCCTCAATTCGATCTAGAGCAAGTACAGGCGGTCTATCCCGTGTGTTATGACGAGTCCATGAATACTGTGTTGGCTCAAGAGGTAGAACGTTTCAATAAATTGCTGGATGTGATGAGAAGTACGTTGCACCTTGTACAGCAAGGACTTAAGGGCCTTGTGGTCATGTCTGTCGAACTCGAAGCCATGGGGGCATCACTTTATGACCAGAAGGTTCCTGCTGTCTGGGAAGCAAAAGCGTACCCGTCACTTAAACCACTTGGTGCCTGGGTGACGGATCTCTTGGAGCGCTTAACATTTATCTCGAATTGGATCTCACACGGCATTCCAGCCGTCTTTTGGATCTCAGGCTTCTTTTTCCCGCAAGGTTTTATGACAGGCACGATTCAAAACCATGCCCGACGGTACAAAATGCCGATTGACTCGCTCTCGTTTGAATTCATTATGATGTCTGCGAGTGTTGAACAGCTTCAAACACCACCGGATAATGGGTATTACACATACGGATTGTTTTTGGAAGGTGCTCGTTGGAATTCAGAGACGAAAGCCTTGGACGATCCGTTACCACGTGAATTATTTGCAAAAATGCCTGTCATTCATTTGCTCCCGCAAATGAACCGTGATCCACCGCAGAAGGGCATCTATCGATGCCCTGTGTACAAAATTTTAACTCGAACCGGAACTTTATCGACCACGGGCCATTCCACTAACTTCATCATGTGGCTTGAAATTCCGTCTAACAAACCCACCATCTTTCGCAATTCGCTCGTGTCTGAAACTAATGCCCAAGTGCTTTTTGCCGACCAAGAATACTGGATCAAAGCAGGGGTAGCGTGCTTCTGCAGTTTGCGCTACTAAACTTAACTTTTCGTAGAAGTTTTTATTGTCGAAGTGAGTTAGCTTACATAAATACACCTTATTCTCTTGCTTCGTTCTTGGGTATGGTGATATAAATATATGCATGCCGGCTCGTTCTCGTAGCATTAAAGCATGAACGAAACCAGGCGAATCCATGGTGACACTTGGTCCAATTGATCCATCTGCATCGAAATCCGTTGAATTATGAGCGACAGCCCGTTACACACACGGTCCATCGTGTCGAACATTATCATCGCTGACGCTGCAGGAGGCGCCGTAGCCGGCTGCGGATTACACGCAGTAGCTAACAAAATGAGCAACAGGAGGACAGCTAGCACGAATCCTGGCGGGTCCGTGACCGAGGCCGCGCAAACATAGAGGAAAGAGAAAAAATTGCGTAGATTCGGTCGGCGTCGAAAAGCTAAAGCGGCTGTGTTAGTGGTAAGTGCTGCACTGGGCGATGGTGGCAACGTCAAGTGAGAACACTGCTGCTTGGATATTGTCGCAGCACCTCTTGTCTCTGAGGGATATAGCAATACGATGAGATCTTTTAGTAGCAGATTGACCTGAAGCTCCTCATTCTCAGTATGTTGTCGACACAAGGGACACAAATGACTTTGCACTCGTTGTCGAGAGCTTTCAATCTCATCCTCCAATCGACTGGCAGCTATAGGGGGAGTAGCTAACGTTTCGTGCGCCCAAGCGGTCAAAATGCAGCCTCGGTCAAAATTGTGCCTATAACCACATTATTGTGAGTCTACTGCATCAATTAGACACATTTGCTCACATACCCACAGGGCAAAGTGACGGGAAAACTCAATATGTCAAAGCAGATAGAGCAGAGAAGATGTTCGTGTGCGATACGAGGACAGAGAGATGATAGTGGGGGATCACGACGGTGTGCAGCGTCAACGATTGCGAGTTGTAGAGATTGAGGCAAGCGCTTGAATGCGGGCATAATAATTTACTTGAGGGAAGGCCTGATAATGCGGAACTGGAATGTTTGTTCGACCGACGACCGTTTCAGATGATAGAAGTTTCACCCAATCGCTATGCGCAAGGTCGGATGACGGTTTCACAATTGAGAGTAAACGTCTGTTTATGTGCAAAACGATCGCTTATGCGAAAAAACAGAGTTTTCACATTCATAGGTCTTCGACAATAGAATTCAGCAAATAATACTAATTATGCACTCACCCATGATTAGTTTTTCTAAAATATACCAGCTCTGAGCCATAACTGGATGAATCCTATCAGTAGTTTTGATTATATTGTCTTGCGCTCAAGAAATTTTACCCTGGAATGGAAGTATACATTGAGACAAATATTCTTTACTTATTATCTATTCGCTCGTTTGTCAAGAAGTATGACAAGCGTAGTGCGATATGGAAAAGTCAGCGACCGAATAGTAAGACGCGTGCAGATCAGCAAGAAAATGACATGTCAATGCCTGATCAATTACGGCAAGACCGTGCTGAGAATCACTTTTTGCCTCCGTGAGAATCGTAACCAACATTGCGTATGATACGGTGACGAGTCAGAGCTTTGTAGTAGTTAGTACTGCGCGCGACATGTGCGCGATATCATTGATTGTCACACAAAGCAAGCAGGATGGAGTTGCTTGCTCGAACTTTCAATCGGAACCCAAGTGCCGTCAACGTAAGTGGAATCACTGACACTCGATTCTCATAATTTGAGGCTGGACTTTTAGTAAAAATATATACGATTGGCTTAAAATAACTTTTTTTCTGCGTAATCTAATTGGCTACTGAAAACAGCCAAGGCTGATTCTACTGCGCTTTAACTACCATACAAAGATCAAGGTAAAAACTACTTCAACGGCCGCATCTGCTCTCATCACAAGTCTTTCCGCCACGAAGAAGATCTGACCATCATTCTTCCTCGCTGAAAGAAGTATGCGCGCTGCCTCTATTTCCTTTTTACTCTCTACTAGTCTCGCACTTACGGATGCGCTGAAGACACCCCTTGAATATGAGCGGGAGTTCTCAGAGTGGATGAAAACTTACGGCATCTCATTCTCTAATGCGCTTGAGTTCGCAAAGCGTTTGGAAAATTACGTCGCTAACGACATTTACATACTTGAGCACAATATTGAGAATGCTTGGACTGGCGTGAGACTAGGACACAACGAGTATTCTCACATGTTGTTTGACGAATTCCACTCTAGAATGACAGGCTTTGTCATGCCTGAAGGCTACTTGGAGCAGCGTCTGGCTTCGCGTGTCGATAATTTGTGGAGCGATTTTGTAGTGGCTGAAGCTGTGGATTGGCAAGAGAAAGGAGGTGTTACGCCCGTTAAGAACCAGGGAATGTGTGGATCGTGTTGGGCTTTTTCCACCACGGGCGCTGTGGAGGGTGCCGTATTTGTTTCAAGCGGGAAGCTGCCCAGCCTTTCAGAGCAAGAACTTGTGGATTGCGATCACAATGGTGACATGGGCTGTAACGGAGGGCTTATGGACCACGCCTTTACATGGATCGAAGACAACGGAGGCATCTGCACCGAGGATGATTACGAATACAAGGCGAAAGCTCAGGTATGCCGCAACTGCGAAAGCATTGTAAAGGTTACTGGATTTCAGGATGTCAACGCACAAGACGAGCACGCTTTGAAAGTGGCGGTGTCGCAGCAACCAGTGTCGGTAGCTATTGAGGCTGACCAGAAAGCGTTTCAATTTTACAAGTCTGGAGTATTCAATCTCACTTGTGGCACGAGACTGGACCACGGCGTCCTTGTTGTGGGATACGGATCCGACGACGGACAAAAGTTTTGGAAGGTGAAGAACTCTTGGGGGCCTTCGTGGGGAGAGGATGGATACATTCGTCTTGCTCGTGAAGAGAATGGGCCTGCTGGGCAGTGCGGTATCGCCTCTGTGCCTAGCTACCCGTTTGCGACAATGGCCTCAAAGATTGAGCCAACGAATAAAACTGAGACGACTTCTAAAGAGCCGCAATTGGAGTATGTCGATGATTTTATGGAGTTGGTCCTCGGCAACGAAGCACGCGATGTCCGTCCGAAGAATCTGGCTGACCTTTTTTCTTCGGCGAAGATTACACAGTGCGGCGACGTCAGCAGTGCAATATTTGACTTTTCGCATCTCGAGGTGACGCCGACATCTCCTCAGCGCGGCCAACCGATTGCATTCTTTGGGAACGGTAATTCGAAGCGTGACTTTGAGTCGGCGAACTTTCAACTGCAAGTGAAGCTCGCTGACATGCAGGTGTTTGGACATTCGGGCAAGCTTTGCGGCGATAGTCATATTCCTCTTCCGCTTGGCCTGGGCCACATCGATGTGCACGGCTTTGCCTGTCCCGTGAACAAGGGAAAGAGCTCGGACATGAAGGTTGACGTGAATCTGCCCGTAATTGCTCCCGCAGGCAACTACGAGATCGTACTGAAGAGCGACGACGACAGCAACAATTCCCTTTTCTGCGTGAATGTCGAGCTTGACTTGACGGGTGATGATCGTTCCGCGACGAAGGCCCACGTGTATGAGCCGATTGAATTCATGTAAACTGCTTTAGCATTCGCCCGAAATGTATTTTTCCTTAAAAATTTCTCATAGCAATTGCCACGAAGTATCGTGCATAACCGAATTTGCAATATATGGTTTGTCGGTGATGACCTGGCAATTTGTCGTATCATTAATCTAGCTATATTTTTAACAAATGATTGCAATCAATTATTTATACGTCGTGCGAGAATTTATAACCTTCATATAAAAGTGCTGTTCAGTCAAGCTTGGATCTGACCTACCGGCTGAAACAACAAGAACATATTTTGATCTTGCCTGCGAATGAAGCCTCTGTTCGTGCTGCGGTCGTCGAAAAAACATAACCTTTGAACTGATTTTTTGGCCACGTTGTACAGTGCTGGCCAAGAATATGTAGCCATGACTATTTCTCTCATTTTTACGTCAATTTTAGCAAAATACCCTAAAACCGTGTAGAAACGCTATTGAGACAAAGCACTTTAGGAGCATATCATTTTTTTTCACAAACAATTTTTCGTTGCGGAGATCAAGAAGCGACCATCACTCTGACCCTGGACAAAAGTA